CTACTGTCTCTCTGTGTGTCTGATTGTGTTTCCCCTACTGACTCTCTGTGTGTCTGGTTGTGTTCCCCCTACTGACTCTCTGTGTGTCTGGTTGTGTTTCCCCCTACTGACTCTCTGTGTGTCTGGTTGTGTTCCCCCTACTGCCTCTCTGTGTGTCTGATTGTGTTCCCCCTACTGACTCTCTGTGTGTCTGGTTGTGTTCCAACAGGGCAAGAAGAAGAGAAGAAAACGAGAGAAGCATCAGGACTCCTCCACAGGTAATGTCCAACTGTGCACCTTCAATGTTCTCTCTCTCCTCTCTACCAAACTCCCAGACCAACCCTGAGCTTCAATACAATATACTTCCATTCAACCCCTATTCTATCGTTTGAAACAACTTCACTGGTCGACTATCCCCTAGCCGTACCCACTTCCATTATTGGTTTGTACTCTGACTGGGTCACTGCTGCTCTAACTAACAGAGTGTGAAAGCTTGTCCTCTCCTCTCTAATGGCCTGTGTCCTGAATGCCTGTTGTGAATGGAGTCCTGCTCCATCTCCTCTGTTCTGGCTGCACGTTTAGAGTTTTTGGTGTTAACCCCTACTCAGTAGTTGGGCATTAACAGTCTGGTTTGATGGCTTTCTGATTTACCATCTCTGTCAATGCTTCAACTTCTGCTCTGACCTCTTGATCTGATTTCTCCTTATCTCTCTCTCTCCATCATCCCCTCTCTTTCTTCATCTCTCCCTCTCTTTCCTAACTTATTTCGTATGCGCATGCTGCCTTGTGCTCAGACCCTGGCTCTCCTAAGAAATGCAGAGCTCGCTTCGGCCTCAACCAACAAACAGACTGGTGCGGTCCCTGCAGGTGTGTACCTCTTGGTCTGCTACCCCTCTCTCCCTCCTCTGTGAGCGTGCCTCAGCCCCCTGCTGTGCTCCGCTCTGCATGCACTCATCTCACTAACTCTGTGCTTTGTGACCCACATCGCCCCTTACAGGTAGAGAACCCCAGCAAGGGGGTGGGGGGGGGGGGGGGGGGGGGGGGGCACTAAAGCTGCTTTACTGGCTGGTGATGGGGTGTCTCCTCAGGGATTGGTGGGTGAAAAGGTGGGGATGCTGGGTGATGCTGATCAAAGGAAGGTGGGAGAGGGGGTCCTGTAGGTCTGAGGGAAGAAAGGGGTTTCACACAGTGAAGCTCTCTGCTTAAAACAGCAATGTCTTGGTTATGCTATTGGTAGAAATAACAAAGCAGTCATTTTTTACATTTCCAGTGGATGGATGATCAGTCATGCTCATCATCAGCACCTTTTTAACCAACTCAATATTTTCACATCAGGGTAGATGTGTGAAGAAAGCCTGCCCCTCCCCCCAACTCCATCATGCCACAGTGTCTTCCCCACCACGCCGTCACATCATGGAAATCTCCTTACCACTGTGTGTGTGTGTGTGTGCTGCGAGAGAACAAAGGGAGGTGAATGTGGTTAGAGCGAATCCTGATCACCGCAGACGAACACACCTCTCTCTCTCTTGCACCGCTGCTCTGCACTTTGATGGCATTTCTCATGTTCATCTGCCCTCAACTTTCTCCATTGATGTGGTCAGGCAGTGCAGCTTTTGATGGTGAACTCTGACATTTAGAATTGCTCTCTCTCCCTCTCTTCCTCTAAATATGTCCTCGCGCCTTTTCTTGCGGTGGCACTAAGTGACTCATGTTGTATTCTGGTATTGATCATGAGATAAGGTGTGCTACTTTGGTTTGTATTTGGTTGAAGAAGAGGCAAACAGCTGCTGTTTGTTAATAATTAAGCTTAGAACACAACATTTGTAATGTTCATTACAACAACCACAGAAATCAAGGAAAATGGCGTTGAATGATCTATGAATACATATTCGATGTATTCAATGGATTTGCGCATAAATATATCTCGACTTAGAGAACTCAATTAAATAATGTTGAAAACAGTAAAAAGTTCATTCTGGTGACACTTTGCATCCACGCTTTATTCACAGATAACTCTCTTGACTGTTCCTAGGAGGAAAAAGAAGTGCATTCGATACCTTCAAGGAGGACGGTGCGCCAGCCCCACTTCTTCCGATGGAAGCGCTATAGACTCGGCCCTCTCCCCTGTTGACGGCGTCCCCCCTCAGCACCCCAGCTCTCCCTTGCCTGCTTCCCCCTCGCACGTCCCCCTGCAATCCCAGCCCAGCAAACACACACCCTGTATCCTCTCAAAATCCAAGACCACAGAACTGTCTCTCAAAGCTTTAATAGAATCATCCCAACAGCACGACAATCTCCATCATCATCATGACTGTACCCTGCCCAAGTCTCACTAGCCAGCTGCCTCACCTGCCCTGTCCCCTCTCACACTGCCTCCCACCATTCCAACACACACACACACAGACAGACATAGCCCAACCCAACGTAACCAGGACCAGACCTGGAGTGGGGAGCAACACACTGGAGACAGAACTTCACCACAAATATCCCAAAACAATAAGGGAGCCAATGAGTCTGGGAGAGGATCAAGGATGACATTCACATCAATATGACTGACTGACACCTGACTGATTTACTAAGTGCTCATGTCATTTTAACATTGCTGTACTGAAGGCAGTACTGTATGTACAGGGATGATGACTGCTTCTATTCAAACTGCCTCAAGTCAAATGTATTCCTTTTCCAAAGATTTTTACAGAGGAGTACTGTGCTCCTCCTTTTCATAAGACTTACATTCAGATATGTCAAAGGAACCTTTTCCAACATAGATAGTATTTATATTGATTAACGATGTGGTATAAGGTTGAAACTACAAGGTAGAAGGGATATTGTTTTTTGCTGAGTTAACATGTTATTGTCTCCCCTCGGAGAGAATCATCTCTATGTTATATTAATTTGTTTTAGGCACTTCCTGCTTGTCAGTCAAATTCTTGATATATTATTTTGATGTAGGTCACTCACACAGAATTAAGACATTCTTGGTGTTTGTTCATATAGATGCACACCGTTTGGGAGATTAATTTGTTTGTTGGTGTCAAAATCCTCCATTATATAACAAAAAACAAGGCAACAGTAAACATGTCCCCCCCCCCCAATTAGTGACAATTCGAACATATGTTCTGTGGATTAATGAGAATAAAATATATATATATCCTTCGCTGTATGTAATGGACCGAGCTTATAGGTTCTTATGGGAAACGTGTTGCTCATAAGGAGATGCATAAATGTAAAAAAATAAAATAAATGTTATGACTGTGGATCGAACGGGACAGGAGATATGCTTGTTTAAAGTTTAGAATTTTTGTTGATTACTATAGCGCCCCCCTTGGGCCAATCAGTGTAATTTTGTAAATGCCGGATCTCTATGGCAAGACGCATCATTCACCCAAGTTCCGTAAAAATTGAGCCAGTGGTGTCTGAAGTATCGCGTGACTAACGTACTAACGAACGGATGTAGACAAAGCCATTAACAGATTTCATCGTGGGGGACAATAAATTAAGCAGTCTCTGGACTGCCACAGTCTGAATGAACGTGCTATTCTGTAAACTAAAGACCAAATGGGTACTATATTTCATTGTGTTGTAAAGTTTTGTTGAATTCCCTATATATATAAATATATATATAAACTTTTATATGTTATGTAAAGGGTTTTAAAAAGTTATCTTTAGTCTCCTCTTAATTCTGAACCATTTCTGAAGCAATACATGTTTTTTTTTACATTTGTCTTCTCAGAGAAAACACATTTTGTGCAGAAGTTTTGCCTTTCATCGAAGTTACCACAGATGTCATTTTCAGTGTGTGCATGTTCCACCTGTGTACCAAAAATTAATGTGAAAAAATAATGGTTAATTTACTGCTTGCAAGCATCTTTGGAGATACTGCAGGCAGATACTGTAGACAGATACTCCATCAGAGGATGCTAAAGCTACCACACACTGCTCACATCATTTTACATTTTGGTCATTTAGCAGACGCTCTTATCCAGAGCGACTGACAGTTAGTGAATGCATCTTTCATTTTTTTTTCATACTGGCCCCCCGTGGGAAACGAACCCACATCCCTGCCGGCCAAACCCTCCCCTACCTTGGACGACGCTGGACCAATTGTGCGCCGCCCATGGGTCTCCCGGTCGCGGCCGGCTGCGACAGAGCCTGGACTCGACCCAGGATCTCTAGTGGCACAGCTAGCACTGCGCCACTCGGGATATCAGAATAATGACCACACGAAAAAGTTGTGTACTTAACAGTCTGGCTTTTGTATTTTTTTTTTTTTACACATTCAAAGACTTTTGCCTTTGATGTAATACTCATTTTTGTTTTGTGTATTAAAGTATTTTGAAAATCTGGATCAAGTTTCCTCACTATTTCACATCAGATGTACAAGCAATCACAAACAGCAGCAGACAGACATTCTTTTAATTTATTTATTCACTCCTAGAATTTAATGGTTGATAATCCTAAATGTCATCTTCAGAGCAGAACTGAGAAAAGACCCCAATCCAATCTTAATAGGTAAATACCATAAGTTGTGTGACAGACAACACACATTTACTTCTTCAACAAGTATTTCCAGTCCACAGGACATTTTTCACACATTCACCCCCACTTCAAATGTCCTCCCTAACATGACGTTAAGACAACGGCACAGAAGAGGCTGCGATTACAAAATTCAGCATTGAGTCATTTCAGTTGACTCAACAACAAAAAATATGTAAACATGTTCAGTAAAAAATCCTATAGCAATTCAAAACGGGGAGAGTGGTGCATCTACTCTTGAAATAGGAAAGAAAACCCAGACTCGTGAATATATAAAGTGAAGTGAAGTAAAATGTGTAAACACAATGTAATAGCTATTTCTATTATTTTGCACCACACAAGCAATGGAAATGGTCATGCTACGAGTACACAGGGGGATCTGTCGCTCTAATAGACTAAATGTAATATTAACAAGTATGAACAACGCAGTGCAACCAGTTACTGGAACAATCCTTTCAGCGTGTTAGTGTTGGCAGGATCCTCCTTTATTTCTCTTCACACCACTGGTTCTCCTTGCGTACCTGAGGGGGGGACAATGGAAAGGCAACACACAGTGTCACATCAGTCAGATGTATATTATCACAGGAGCTCTGTGTTCAGGACTGAGGTTACGCCCTAAATGGCACCCTATAGTGCACTACTTTTGACCTGGGCCCAACGGGCTCTGGTCAAATCAAAAGTAAGGCACTGTACAGTGAGGGAAAAAACTATTTGATCCCCTGCTGATTTTGTACGTTTGCCCACTGACAAAGAAATGATCAGTCTATAATTTTAATGGTAGGTTTATTTGAACAGTGAGAGACAGAATAACAACAACAAAATCCAGAAAAACGCATGTCAAAAATGTTATAAATTGATTTGCATTTTAATGAGGGAAATAAGTATTTGACCCCCTCTCAATCAGAAAGATTTCTGGCTCCCAGGTGTCTTTTATACAGGTAACGAGCTGAGATTAGGAGCACACTCTTAAAGGGAGTGCTCCTAATCTCAGCTTGTTACCTGTATAAAAAGACACCTGTACACAGAAGCAATCAATCAATCAGATTCCAAACTCTCCACCATGGCCAAGACCAAAGAGCTCTCCAAGGATGCCAGGGACAAGATTGTAGACCTACACAAGGCTGGAATGGGCTACAAGACCATCGCCAAGCTGCTTGGTGAGAAGGTGACAACAGTTGGTGCGATTATTCGCAAATGGAAGAAACACAAAATAACTGTCAATCTCCCTCAGCCTGGGGCTCCATGCAAGATCTCACCTCGTGGAGTTGCAATGATCATGAGAACGGTGAGGAATCAGCCCAGAACTACACGGGAAGATCTTGTCAATGATCTCAAGGCAGCTGAGACCATAGTCACTAAGAAAATAATTGGTAACACACTATGCCGTGAAGGACTGAAAGGTCCCCCTGCTCAAGAAAGCACATATACAGGCCCATCTGAAGTTTGCCAATGAACATCTGAATGATTCAGAGGAGAACTGGGTGAAAGTGTTGTGGTCAGATGAGACCAAAATCGAGCTCTTTGGCATCAACTCAACTCGCCGTGTTTGGAGGAGGAGGAATGCTGCCAAGAACACCATCCCCACCGTCAAACATGGAGGTGGAAACATTATGCTTTGGGGGTGTTTTTCTGCTAAGGGGACAGGACAACTTCACCGCATCAAAGGAACGATGGACGGGGCCATGTACCATCAAATCTTGGGTGAGAACCTCCTTCCCTCAGCCAGGGTATTGAAAATGGGTCGTGGATAGGTATTCCAGCATGGCAATGACCCAAAACACACGGCCAAGGCAACAAAGGAGTGGCTCAATAAGAAGCACATTATGGTCCTGGAGTGGCCTAGCCAGTCTCCAGACCTTAATCCCATAGAAAATCTGTGGAGGGAGCTGAAGGTTTGAGTCGCCAAACGTCAGGCTCGAAACCTTAATGACTTGGAGAAGATCTGCAAAGAGGAGTGGGACAAAATCCCTCCTGAGATGTGTGCAAACCTGGTGGCCAACTACAAGAAACGTCTGACCTCTGTGATTGCCAACAAGGGTTTTGCCACCAAGTACTAAGTAATGTTTTGCAGAGGGGTCAAATACTTATTTCCCTCATTAAAATGCAAATCAATTTATAACATTTTTGACATGCGTTTTTCTGGATTTTGTTGTTGTTATTCTGTCTCTCACTGTTCAAATAAACCTACCATTAAAATTATAGACTGATCATGTCTTTGTCAGTGGGCAAACGTACAACATCAGCAGGGGATCAAATAGTTTTTTCCCTCACTGTATAGGGAATAGAGTGCCATTTGGGAGGCATCCTGAGAACCACAGAAGGCCGTATTACCTGGGCTTCCTCTTCCTCTGTGAAGTCATTTTTTATGTTGAACGTCTTCCTGATCTCCTCTGGGGTCTTTCCTTTGATCATGTTGGCCACCGTCTTGCAGGTGACATCTAGAAGTCCTTTGATGTCTAAATAGTTTGCGGCCTAAACATAAAAATCAATAAAAAAAGAGGATGAGGATGAATGAAAGCAAGTGCAACTGCTTTGACATGCCTGCCTTCCACGTGAACTACTGCAGCCCTAAGCTTAGGCCATGTAAACAGGTTTCAGGAGCTAGGTCAAACCTGCTGCTCAAATGATAGACTTGTGTCACAGTTCCTAGAAGCCCCCAGCACTAGAAGAATGTATTGCACAATCCCTGCAAAAGAACCATGTAAGTAAGGGTGCTTGTTTCATGTCATATGCACATACCTGATACTTCCTGAGCCGCTTACACACAGGAAAAGAAAACGCAGCCGCCTCCATGTGTTTCTATGCAAAGCCGGCAGGAGATTAGCACCTCGGCAGCAGCACAGGGAGGGGCGTCACCTGCCGCCCATATAGGGAATTTCTTTGACACTCAAGGTAAAAAATAAATAACAAATATAACTTTTGCCTTCCCTCGTTGACCAATCAAATTACAGGGGCTGGATGCCTTTTTCTGGGTTGTGTTTTTTGGGATAATCCAGGTGTCATAACAGCCACTTTTTGTACCACCAGAGTTTAAGATTTTTTATAAACTGTGGGTGGCTTCGCCGGTGTTATTGACTCCCTGTGTTATAAACTGTGGGCGGCTTCGCTGGCGTTATTGACTCCCTGTCTGCAAGGCCCTTTAGTAATCACCTACTACCTCTAATTATAACATGTTATTAAGCACCTACTTGTCACTCAAAGCACTTTACTAGTGCTGTACAACAGTATGTTCAGCAAGCTAACCATTGCCTAAATTACATTCTGAGACACTTCCTCCTGTGTGCAGGTGTCAAACTGATTATATGAGTGTGAAAGGGGACACCTGGTCAGTTGCACAACTGAATACATTCAACCGAAATGTGTCTTCCGCATTTAACCCAACCCCTCAGAATCAGAGAGGTCCGGGGGGCTGCCTTAATCGACGTCATCGGCGCCCGGGGAGCAGTTGTTGTTGTTGGGGGTTAACTGCCTTGCTCAAGGGCAGAACGGCTGATTTTTCCACCTTGCCAGCTCGGGGATTCCAACCAGCAACTTATTGGTTACTGGCCCAACGCTCTTAACCACTAGGCTACCTTTGAGTGGGAGGGGGGGCGGTAGGTACGCACTAGAATAAGTTCGAAGAGGGTCCCTTGGTCCACTTTGAGGAACTCCTGGTCCCAGACAGGGATGTCATCCGTCCTCTTTTCCTTGTTCTCGTCATCCTCGGGGGGAGGGGGATCGTCTTTGTGGTGGGTGCACCACTGGATCACCTGTAGGGAGCAAAGGGAAGAACAACTAGTCCAGGAACAGTGAGTGAATCAACAGTCAGACATGCCAGGCGTCCATCTTCCATCCAGTCCCGTTTCAAAGGGCCCAAGTCGAGGAAGGAGGTCACGGAGCACACAGGAAGGTTTCTGTTTGGAGCTTCATGCTTCTGGCTGAGAGATAGAAATGCTATTCTACAGATGTAAGAACCAAACTGACATAGCCTAAGGACAGACATCTAGATTGGTTTTCCTTATTACTTGAACTTCAGGTTTCAGTACAGGTTTCACCACAACCAGGCAGAACATGTAAGTTGTCTACTATGCAAACACATTTCCCCAAAAAATGTAATTCCCCAAACAAAATTAAATTCATTAATTACATGGATACAGTTGCTGAACAAAGCAGCTTGTCTCTCAGTTGGAGAGACGCATGGACAACACATCATTGTACAATTTGGCAGGGAGAAGGAAATAACAAAAGTCAACTTTAATCCTACAACCCTTCACATGGTAAATAAATCCAACTAGTACTGGTTGGATGGACGAAACACATGATGCAGACAATCCCACCATGTAGTTTATAGTGATTATGAGAGGCACTGGTGACTATATGCATTTGTTATTTTATACCCTTCAAATCATCCATTGACCACATGAACACTGGACTGTAGTGTTCATCCCTAAGGACAACTATCCCTACCATCAGCGTGGACTCTCTCATAGGTAAGGATCTCTGTTACAGGTTTGAGAGCGTCTTTCTGCCTACAAGTTTGACTTTTATCGGTTTCAAATTGTGCCAAGCCTGGTTTGGGTTAAATTGAATTGTGCCACTATGGATTGAATGAATGTACAATTCAACAGAGAAGAATGGAAATTTAGATAATAAAGCAAGCTCTGGTTGGGAGGAGGCCCTTTACTAAGGTTCTCCATGTCCATCTCCCCACAGTTTACCTGTCCCTCAGTCCATTGCACCAGATATGGGATGTGTGACAGTGAGTCCACTTACCTTCTTGAGGATGGCTGCATTCACATTCGGAAGGGGGACTGGATCATCATCTCCTTCATCATCCATACCCAAATCTGTCAAAGACAACCATTAGACAAATGCACACAGATGCTGCCAGACATTTTTGATAAATGTATTTTACCGTCTGAACTGTGCAATATGTACTGATAGCTATGTAGGCTACGTCAAAGATGTTCAACCTCATGTTACAACCGCATGACTAATGAGTACATAGCTAGCTACATACCTTCCAGCATTGTCTTTATTGTCACAGACTGCTTTGCTATTTCCACATCCACCTCAAAGATCTCTCCATCTGAACTTTGCAGTTTAATTGTTGGCATCTGTAAAACAACAGGAAAACGGTTGTCAGCTTCAGGCGTACCTAGTAGCAGAGTGATGACTGATACGGGGGCCACAAAGTACATGTTATATAGCTAGGTGACACGGGGGACCTATTTGGCTAACTGACAAAGTAGCGAACAGTTAGCGACATTAGTTAAGGTGGCTAGCTAACGTTAGCTAGAAGGCAATTTCCTTAGATGCTTTTAGCTACTAACGTTAACTAACTAGCGAAGTACCTTAACGCCAGTAGGGACCTGGCTAACGTTACCGAAACACTTGAAAGGGAAGATTTTAAACATAGAGAAAACCTGTTTTGGTAGACAGGTAAGTTAGCTAGTTAACGGTAGCAAGCTAATTAGCTAGCTACCAGTTCACGCGCTAACTTAGATACAGTAGCTAGCTACCATTATAGTATAGGTTGAATATTACATTAACTAACTTCGATTCAAGCTAACGTTATTGGCTGGGCAACTGTCAACAAAACAGGGAGTCTGAAACAGTCCAGTGCTGAAATAAGATGCTGGACTCAATGCTAGCGTTACGCTTTACATTTAACAATAATACTTTTTGGTAACAGTAACTGACCTTAGCTAACCTTAGTTAGTAGCCCGTGCTAACGACAGCCAGAAAACGAAGCTAACGCGGCTAGCTAACTTAGCGTTGTCAGCAAGGCCCCGTCTTACTAGCAACAATATTTAACCTATTTCCATTTAGCTAGACAGACGAATAATACATTCAAAACACCCATTATTCACAAAGACATAACTACATCCTTTGTACATGGTCGTTACTTACTGTGAATGTTTTAAAGCAAATCTAGAGGGAAAAAAATGTCAACGTCAACCGGGCCCAACAGAAGCACAGGCAGCCACTGGAACTATTTTAGCTGGCCAGCCAACTATGCTTTCGCTTTGTCAAATTGGGGGAAGCAAATGAGTAGTCTTGTGATATGCCTGTACAGTATGAGTGATTTTCCCCATTTAGCGACATTAACAGAATTTCACCCAGTATTTATTAACAAGTGTATTTTAATGCTAATATTTTAATATTTTGTACCGTTACATTCTGTACATTTTTGGGTGCAAAATGGATAAAATTATATTATCTGCGCATGTTCCTCTTTCATGCTGTAGGCTCTGTTAATCAATGGTCCCAGCAAAAACAAATAAAACAAATCAGCGTAATTGTTTTACTCTTTGTGCAGTCCTATTGTTTGCCAAGTAGCAGAGATGTTAATATTTTTTAAATGCCATTACAGTAATTGTGTAACTGTACTAATGTAAATAGGCCTACCCTTTGTTGCGCCTTACTTGAAAAGTAGGCCTTTCCATCTATCGCATGTAGCTACAAATCTTTACCTTGACACACATTCCGGGTTGTCCTGCCAAGAGATGGCACGCTTTCCCCATCATTTGTATATTTCCTTGTTCTATCTTCTACACCTATCAACAGTTACACACACTGGTTGTTGGATCAGAAGTATTTATCCCTACAGTATGATACAAATAATTATCAGTGCAGTTATTACTTAGCTATGTGAAAATGAGAATAAGAGAAGTAATGAAGAAGCAACAAAATATCCTCAGCATCCATGGAAGCTTTCTTTCTTCACCATTTCTCCTACAATCAAATCATAGTTTTCATCATTTGATGTCAGCATATTGTGCCATCACTTAGATAACAGAAACATTAGTCATGGTAATTCGTCACCAAGTACATCAGCAATGTCAGATGAAGCCATAAAATCAATTGAATAAACACATCACAAGTCAAGAAGCAACTTCTATCTTTATTCAACAGGATCCCTCAATACAGACACTAAAAATCATCATCATCATGAGGATTGTGAGTGACTATTTCCACAATGGCATTTCTCAATCTGTCTACCATACACAATTGGATGGGCGTCTGTTTAACCCAGCAAAAAGCTGGTGACAACAAAAAGGAAAAGACCCAAAATAAAACTTTATGTAGAGTGAAACAGCCATCTTCTGACTTGTAAAAACAAAAAAGGCCCAGTGGAGTCAAATGTGATTTTCCTGTGTTTTATATACATTTCCACATTATGAGGTTGGAATAATAAATGGTGATAATACCCTTTTTAGTGTAAGAGCTGTTTGAAAAAAAACACCTGACATTTCATGCTGTTTTGGTGGGATGGAGTTTTGACCAGCCTGGTGATTTGATATTGAGATAAAAACATCTGCATTGAACCTTTAACGTAAACAAAAAAGTGCAAACAGGTTTTAAAAAATATTATAATAATAATAATACAAAAAGTGGGGATTCACAAAATAAGCAATGCATGGTGCATTGGATTGAAAACTTTTCAATTAACAAAACTTGATTACTGCGCTGACCTTGAGATTTGGAACAGAGGAGAAGAGCTAGAGGAGTAAGGAATTAGAGTTGTGATCTTGGACATCAAGATCAGCATTTTGTAATACATATATGGCACACACTTTGTGGTCCATGTACAGACGTTTTGTGAGTGCTTAAATAGTGGTTTGTGTGAATACAATTATGTACATTGACATTTTGCTGTGTTGCCCGCCTCCACGGTGTTGGATGCTGAAGGTACTTTCATAAATCATGGCAATACTGTACAAGGGGTGAGGTTTTACAGGAAGTAGTCTGGGGTGCGACGGGTGACATGGGGTTCCCCTCTACGAGGCGCAGGGTCAAACTGCAGGCTGGAAAAGAGAAACAAAACAAACACACATCTTGTTTTTAATCTAAAATCCTGTTGAGAGTTAATGGATCATCATTAGATCACATTTAGGTCATTTAGCAGACATTCTTCACCATCATCATCATCCTCCAGAAAGAATAGAGGACCTTGCAGGTAGAGCAACAAACTGAGGAGGGTTGGCAATTTATGGAATGGTAATCAATATGCTTACAAGGAGTATTTCAGGGTGTCGTCGAGTTCCATGATGGCTGCCTGGTTACCACAACGGTAACAGTAATTTGGTGCACTGAATATCGTTACCACGTTTCGCTCGTGGCACCAGTTGTAACCCTATAGAAAAAAACAGGAGAACAGTGAAGTAATAGTGAATGCAGAAATCTGAGACAGTCCTACAGACATAACATTTTACAGGACATGTGCATTAACCTGAATGAGGGGGTAACATGAAATGCATTCAGATAAGCTTTCATACTCATACATTTCACATTGTGATCACCTTTGAGATTTCAAGCATGGAGAATCAGCGACAGGCAGCTTACCTCCATAACCAGCTGGTGAGCTCTGGAGACCAGGGTAAGGCGGTTGGCATGGTTAAATGTCTCAGATATATCCTGGCCAAAGGTGTAGCCGGCCCCCCTGGGGGAGATGCCCCAGCCCCCACGGTCATCTGGGTCTGACCACAGCAGGTCACACATGGGGCCCTGTGGAAGAGAGGAGATGTGTGTAAGCAGCATAGTAATAAAGATACGGATCTATATGGTGAACAGGGTCACTGAGAGCAGGGGAGGATGGAAAGTTGATATGGTCAGTTTTGTCCTAATGGTTGCGGTTAGGATTAGGAACAGACAAATTTATCCTGGACCTGTGCCTAAAAGTTACTTCTAACTAGCAGCAATGAGACAGCAGAGCATGCTCAGAAGCAGGGTTGTTGAGCCATGTACCTCGTGTGGCACTTCCTGCAAACGGTCCAGCGCTCGGATGTGATCCAACGTGTCTATGGACGGCGACAGGCCTCCGTGAAGACAGAATATCTTAGAAGGGAAAGAAAACAGAACATTTTACCTGAGAATTTAAATATTGGTTCTGACTGAGTAACAGTTTGACTGAGACATAAGAAAGATATATACCCTTGAGTGAATTTGTATTTACAGCATACAACAGGTAAAGCATTGCATCTTCAACGTCATATGGATTAAATGTGTGAAACCTCTTACCTGAGTATCTACCAAGGCTGTGAGAGGAAGGTAATCGAAGAGGTCTGTGAAGTATTTCCATACGTTTGCATTGCCGTATTTCCTTAGGCACTCGTCGTAGAAGCCGTACACTTGTGTGATTTGTCTGCTTTCGTGGTTCCCCCGAAGGATTGTGATGCGTTCACGGTACCTAACCTGTGATCAATGTTAAAAATACAGGGGATTACAAAACAGCACTGTTGAATGAATAGCCTTCCAGGGCATTCTGTGAATGAGAGTGTGTCTTAGCATTACATTACTTTGGCATCACAAGGCCCTGTGTAACTTATCATTGAGCACTCTTGTAGGGCAAATTCAAAATGTGAAAGGTCATTCAAAACTCCAAGTGACCAATAACAACACTTGCCTTAAGTGCTACAAGTAGTGTGACAGTTTCTACAGAGTAGTAGCCTCGGTCCACGTAGTCTCCCATGAACAGGTAGTTTGTGTCTGGAGACTTCCCTCCGATTCTGAAGAGCTCCATGAGGTCGTGGAACTGGCCGTGGACGTCTCCACACACTGTGACCGGACATCGGACCTCCTGCACGTTGGATTCCTTGGTCAGAATCTCCTTCGCCTGGACAACACACACACACACACACAAAATTAGGCTAGGTTTCTCCTTACCCTGGACAAAACACATACAAACATAAGGCTATGTTTGAGTGCCTCCCTTCCCACCCTTAACTTCCCCAAGAAAATAAATAGACTAATGACATTTGGCAAGCTAGTTGAACGGCAATGCAGTTCCTAGAAACCAGTGGACTGTGTAGTGCAGCTCTAAGAAAAACAGTAAGGCCTGCTGGGGGCAAAGCAGATGAGATTATAGGGGGAAACACTCCACTTCTCTTCTATAATGCACTTGATTGCATGCAGGGCTATATTTGTTGCCAATGCAATCTCTCCCTCCTTCCCCCTCTCTCAAAAAGCATCAGTGTTAGTCTTTGAAACAAGTTCTAGGTTAAACAAAGTGGCAACACACACATATGCCTAGGCCCGTCTCCGGACCATTCCAGGGCCTAAAATCAGTAGAGATGATCATTGGTGTCTGGCTGGGATTATAAATTGTTGGCAGTACACTGGGGGTTGGGGGTGTAAGGAGCTTTTTGAGCATAAATCCCATTTTGAGAGCAGCAGGCATAGAGTAGAGCAGGGATGTGTGTGTCAGAGATGAGCGAGAGTGATATCTGCTCCAGGCAGCAACGCCCTGAGAGACAGCAAGGGAGAGAGACACACTGGCAGATGGAGGAGAGAAACAGAGCAACCAGGCCATATTAAACAAACCTGATATTTTTCCAAATGTATTTGAGTGGATATATTACAAATAAAAAGAGTCAGATAGAGGCCAGAGCCAGACAAACTAGAGTAGGTCAGTGGGACTCAGAACATTGGTAAACATAATATAGTATAGAACAGAGTCAATACAGCCTACAATATGGTATGACCTCAGAACATGGATCGTCTTTCATCAGTATCCTAAGACAACTGATCTAGGCATGTCTATATTGAATGGATGACATAAATGCCTCACCCCTCATTGCCGCACCTACTAAAGATATGCCTTGCTGGCATCAGCTAAAAACCTCAAGTTTGTTTATTCGTCATATACACAGAGTACACAGTGCAATGAAATGCTTACTTGCAGGTTCACCTCTCAACAATGCAACAATACAAAAAGTAAGTAAGTGAATACAAAGAGTAGTAAAAATAAAAATTCAATGAAGTAAAAATAGAATAGTCATTGAGCAATAATATGATACAAGAATGCGCTCAAACTAATTTATGTCAAATATTTACATGTGACAGAACAGGAAATTGTGCAATAGATAATTAATAGTGCAATAATAAATAGGCTAGACAATGTGCAGTAATAATTATAAACCTTTGACCTAGAATGATTTCACTGAATGAACAAACAGTGTGAAGTGAAGTTCTCATCTTCCCATCAGTAAATCACACTCTCCCCCCGTTCTGTAATTTGTATCCCAAGACAGAGGCCATTCCACCAGTGTTATATTGAGTCACAGAGACAAGCAAGAGGTGACTCCCGAGTGGCGCAGTGGTCTAAGGCACTGCATCGCAGTGCTAGCTGTGCCACTAGAGATCCTGGTTCGAGTCCAGGCAACTGGGAGACCCATGGGCGGCGCACAATTGGTCCAGCGTCGTCCAAGGTAGGGGAGGGTTTGGCCGGCAGGGATGTGGGTTTGTTTCCCACGGGGGGCCAGTATGAAAAATGCATTCACTAACTGTAAGTCGCTCTGGATAAGAGCGTCTGCTAAATGACTAAAATGTGATTTCTCCGGTGTTGTATTCAGTCACAGAGACAAGCAAGAGGTGATTTATCCAGTGTTGTATTGAGTCACAGAGACAAGCAATTATGTGGTGGTGATGCAACTCAGAATCAATCACATCCAAGGCTATTTTTACTCTGGCTGCACATTCTGCTGAACACATGAGCAAATATGTGCTCTAAAACCTACCTTTTAAGAGCTGTGAAGGAGCTGGTCAATCACGTGCTCAGGGGTTTGTGAGACCACTGATTACAACAACAAAATGGTAACCATTTGACAACTCACAGTTTGACTTGAGTAAGTGGCAAAACCCCTCTACTCGCTTGAGACTGAACTCCACAGGCTAATAGAATGTGATCGCTGACACCTTGTAGCCTAGTGGTAAATATTTGCCAATGATGCGAAATTCTAGCCGGGTACCATTTTCATCCGTACCGTAATCCTGGCCTCTAACCTTCAAATCATCTCAGGATAATAATCACCTATTAGTAAACAAGCCAAACAAGTACGTGAGTAGACGCACTGGGTTATTAAAAAATAAGTATTTAAGCCCATACATAAGTGTAACAGTCAAGTGAAAAGGGTATCAATGAAGATTGAGGTTAAATCCCTGCTCAGACCCTTGATGATGCACTGATGACTTGATAAAGTGTAACTTCTGTCTGCCCTAGTTCTTGTCCAGTCCCACAGTTCAGTTCACTCAGGGTGGGAATCCAGGATATGTGTGTGTGTGTTTGTATGTCTGTGTTTTACAACTGTACTCAGATGTGTATAGTTTGACTATACCCAACAAATAAATGAAAATGCTTGACATTTCTTGGACAACCGCAGTGATTTTGCCACAGGACACTCAGTCATACCATCAGGACATACATTATGACGCTAATAACATACCCCAGGCATCCCATAACTAAATGAGACACTCAATCAGTCAGACAGGCAGTCTGAATGAGTTGGTAGTAAACCAGGTATGAGCCTTGCATTCTTTAGCTGGCCTTCAAGAAAGCTGGGCGACCACTACTGACATTTAAAAGATGTTCCAGACAAACACATGTTTATACGAATGAATGCAACGGTTTGGCTTCTCCAAAATAAACCATACATTGCTGCAGTAAAATGCTAAACCAGTCTTACAGCTCAGCAGAATGAGAAGTTGAGCAATGTAACGTTAATGTTTTACTTACATCGGCGCCATTTTAAGAATGTCAGAGGAATGGAAGGGTCAAAAAGACACACTCGAATAGTTCGATCATTTGTAAGCCATACATGTTAGTATTTCTGAAAGGTTGACGAGCGTTTTAGATAGGCCTACACGAGAAAGTAGGCTATATAAATATAAATAATCGCTCTTGAAACTAGACAGGATTACGTTGTAAACTATTTGGCAAGTGCTGACAGCGATAAACTGCGCAATATGTATCATCCCCCTGAATGTTACACTGAAACATTTTTAGATGGAAAGTTTTATTTCTGTTTACCTTACCTTTTCGCAAAGAGTTTTGACTTGGCTCTCTGACAGCTGTTTGCAGTCGTTGATTTGTTCGATCCATAGGTCGATCTCCTTTGTAAAACACTTCTCGTCCATTTCTGATTGTTATTTCGGATAATTCAATAGCACAGAAATGGTTATTTCCCTAAATACTCGGAACCCTCCCCCAGAGTTGCATGCGGTTCGAATTGACACATATATTGCTGAAAGTATATGAAGGGGAGCGGACTAGGAAATGTGGAGACGTCAGAAGCTCTTGTCCCACCCTAGGCCGTGATCCATTCAACACAAGTAGGACTGGGTGCGCCAGGCAAATGCAGCATTATTATTGGTCTCCCAGTAGAATCCTTGCATTCTTATTGGCTTAGATTGTAAAAGTTAGATACATTGGGCAAATTCGTTTTGCATGGCCCGGTGCCACACATACGCCGTGTATGCACATTTCACCCTTCCATTGGTTCTAAAATGAAATCTCCATCCACCCTGGAAACCGGGCCAAGTAAAACGAACTGGCCCAGCGGTTGGTACATTGTAACCCGTTGTTAATGTTTGTAATTAATGAGGTCATATTTGAAATAAGTTATTTTCACTATGCCTATTCATGGTTAGGGACTGATCGAAATGTACTGGGGGGAGGGGTGGTCCAAAATAGGGGAGCGTTTTTTAGGGGTGCACAGGGGAGCGTAGTGCATTTTTTCCCCTGGTTTACATTTGCTCTTCTGCTCGTATTTTCCCTATAAACAATGGCTTGACTTACTTTTGATATTACCCTAATAAAGGCCCTATGTAGCTCAGTTGGTAGAGCATGGTGCTTGCAACGCCAGGGTTGTGGGTTCGATTCCCACGGGGGGCCAGTATGAAAAGAAAATGTATGCACTAACTGTACGTTGCTCTGAATAAGAGCATCTGCTAAATGACTAAAATGTAAAGTTTAGAAACGTTTTTGAAGGTTTGGTATGTTGTGGCTATTTTTAAGCTTTACCTACTGCAGGCCTATGATATCAAGGCAGTGCGCCCTGGCCCTGCAGCTGACTACGACAGTTTACATTTACATTTTAGTCATTTAGCAGAAGCTCTTATCCAGAGCGACTTACAGTTAGTGAGTGCATACATTATTATTATTTTTTCATACTGGCCCCCCGTGGGAAAGGAACCCACAACCCTGGCAGTTCAAGACTATTTCAGGCCTATCTGAGTTAATCCTATAATCTAACAATATAATGCTTATCTTTATACAAAATATTCAGATAAAAAATGTACGAATTACCCTCCTTCTGTACGTCTATATCTGTATAGCAGACGCAATAGCCATCTGACATAAATAAATTAATGTCAGTGTCATAGCATGCCACCGGCATATCTCTATCTCTCTGGGTTACGCCTGAGCTTCTCTTCCTTTACATAGGCTACGTATATATACAGTAGAAGTCGGAAGTTTACATACACCTTAGCCAAATACATTTACACTCAGTTTTTCACAATTCCTGACATTTAATCCTGTCTTAGGTCAGTTTGGATCACCACTTTATTTTAAGAATGTGAAATGTCAGAATAATAGTAGAGAAAATGATTTATTTCAGCTTTTATTTCTTTCATCACATTCCCAGTGGCTCAGAAGTTTACATACACTCAATTAGTATTTGGTAGAATTGCCTTTAAATTGTTTAACTTGGGTCAAACGTTTCGGGTAGCCTTCCACAAGCTTCCCACAATAAGTTGGGTGAACTTTGGCCCATTCCTCCTGACAGACCTGGTGTAACTGAGTCAGGTTTGTAGGCCTCCTTGCTCGCACACTTTTTCAGTTCTGGCCACACATTTTCTATAGGATTGAGGTCAGGGCTTTGTGATGGCCACTCCAATACCTTGACGTTGTGGTCCTTAAGCCATTTTGCCACAACTTTGGAAGTATGCTTGGGGTCATTGTCCATTTGGAAGACCCATTTGCGACCAAGCTTTAACTTCCTGACTGATGTCTTGAGATGTTGATTCAATATATCCACATAATTTTCTCATGATCATGATCTCATGATGCCATCTATTTTGTGAAGTGCACCAGTCCCTTCTGCAGCAAAGCACCCCCACAGCATGATGCTGCCACCCCCGTGCTTCACGGTTGGGATGGTGTTCTTCGGCTTGCAAGCACCACCTTTTTCCTCCAAACATAACGATGGTCATTATGGCCAAACAGTTCTATTTTTGTTTCATCAGTCCAGAGGACATTTCTCCAAAAAGTACGATCTTTGTCCCCATGTGCAGTTGCAAACCGTAGTCTGGCTTTTTTATGGCGGTTTTGGAGCAGTGTTGAAGTTGAAGTGAAAGATTCTCTGTTATCACAATAACCAAGTTTGTCTAAAACATTTATTGTTATTATTTTTATTATCTTCAGTCAAATGCTGGTTAGGGACAGAAACCATCCACTGCCAGGACTCAGTTAAGAATTCAGATCACCTCTCAATGGTAATACTGTTCCCTCCAAAACCTGAAGAAAAAAAACATTAAAATGATTGACATAGTCCTTAATTGAGTAAGGCCTCCTAGAGAGTTAATAACAACAACAGTCTCTATAATACATGTCTGTCCCTATGCAACGCTTGACACATCTTTGTCAGAATCTTACCTACTTATTTCCCTGGTCCGTGAAATCAGATGACGGCAATGATGGTATTCTGGAGCCGTCTTCTCTTCCTCTGCTCCTCGGCTCCTTCCTCGAGTGCTTTGCTGCCTTGACTGTTTGGAATAAAACAATAATCATGTTTCTTCTGAACACATACATTAATCTACACTTAGAAACCGTACTTAATCTGCACAGAGAAAACCATACTTTGGTTACACATAGGGTTAACGTTACACATTACATTTACATAGGAGAGTAAAACATTCTGTATCAAACAGCATGTTGTCATCACAGATGAGTTCACTCAACAGGTTCTATCTGTACCACATTTTCAGAATCAAACATCTGCTTTGGAATATATTTCTCAGATCTGATATATTCTTCAGTAAGCAGAAAGGATTGTTTAGGCAAACAGATATGGCCATTTTCTAAGAATTACATCTAGAATAAACAGAATTCATTTGAATGTTATCACAGCTGTCCATCCCTCCCTACAGGCTACTCTTTTCTATTTTGCTCTGCCCCTGTGTGTGTGTGTGTGTGTGTGTGTGTGTGTGTGCGTGTCAGCACTGTCTGTTTTGCCCAGCTGGACCACTATCCATGACAAAAACATAACCCTTGCCCTCAATCACCACCGCCATGTCCCTCAAGTTCCCTCCTCACTGAGGCCCACACACACACCACATCAAAGTTTTAATTAGTAGTTCAATTCAAAGAAAGAGCTCAGGAATACATACAGTGGGGAGAACAAGTATTTGATACACTGCCGATTTTGCAGGTTTTCCTACTTACAAAGCATGTAGAGGTCTGTAATTTTTATCATAGGTACACTTCAACTGTGAGAGACGGAACCTAAAACAAAAATCCAGAAAATCACATTGTATGATTTTTAAGTAATTAATTTGCATTTTATTGCATGACATAAGTATTTGATCACCTACCAACCAGTAAGAATTCCGGCTCTCACAGACCTGTTAGTTTTTCTTTAAGAAGCCCTCCTGTTCTCCACTCATTACCTGTATTAACTGCACCTGTTTGAACTCGTTACCTATATAAAAGACACCTGTCCACACACTCAATCAAACAGACTCCAACCTCTCCACAATGGCCAAGACCAGAGAGCTGTGTAAGGACATCAGGGATAAAATTGTAGACCTGCACAAGGCTGGGATGGGCTACAGGACAATAGGCAAGCAGCTTGGTGAGAAGGCAACAACTGTTGGCGCAATTATTAGAAAATGGAAGAACTTCAAGATGACGGTCAATCACCCTCGGTCTGGGGATCCATGCAAGATCTCACCTCGTGGGGCATCAATGATCATGAGGAAGGTGAGGGATCAGCCCAGAACTACACGGCAGGACCTGGTCAATGACCTGAAGAGAGCTGGGACCACAGTCTCAAAGAAAACCATTAGTAACACACTACGCCGTCATGGATTAAAATCCTGCAGCGCACGCAAGGTCCCCCTGCTCAAGCCAGCGCATGTCCAGGCCCGTCTGAAGTTTGCCAATGACCATCTGGATGATCCAGAGGAGGAATGGGAGAAGGTCATGTGGTCTGATGAGACAAAAATAGAGCTTTTTGGTCTAAACTCCACTCGCCGTGTTTGGAGGAAGAAGAAGGATGAGTACAACCCCAAGAACACCATCCCAACTGTGAAGCATGGAGGTGGAAACATCATTCTTTGGGGATGCTTTTCTGCAAAGGGGACAGGACGACTGCACCGTATTGAGGGGAGGATGGATGGGGCCATGTATCGCGAGATCTTGGCCAACAACCTCCTTCCCTCAGTAAGAGCATTGAAGATGGGTCGTGGCTGGGTCTTCCAGCATGACAACGACCCGAAACACACAGCTAGGGCAACTAAGGAGTGGCTCCGTAAGAAGCATCTCAAGGTCCTGGAGTGGCCTAGCCAGTCTCCAGACCTGAACCCAATAGAAAGTATTTGGAGGAAGCTGAAAGTCCGTATTGCCCAGCGACAGCCCCGAAACCTGAAGGATCTGGAGAACGTCTGTATGGAGGAGTGGGCCAAAATCCCTGCTGCAGTGTGTGCAAACCTGGTCAAGACCTACAGGAAACGTATGATCTCTGTAATTGCAAACAAAGGTTTCTGTACCAAATATGAAGTTCTGCTTTTCTGATGTATCAAATACTTATGTCATGCAATAAAATGCAAATTAATTACTTAAAAATCATACAATGTGATTTTCTGGATTTTTGTTTTAGATTCCGCCTCTCACAGTTGAAGTGTACCTATGATAAAAATGACAGACCTCTACATGCTTTGTAAGTAGGAAAACCTGCAAAATCGGCAGTGTATCAAATACTTGTTCTCCCCACTGTATGTATCACATGCAATGTTGGTTATTATCATAAATTAATTCTGCTCGATAGCTTTGTCTTTGCAATGACAAGACACCAGAATAAAGGGCTGAGGACAAGTGGGAGGGCACAGTGAGTCCTACTGATTAGTCTTCTGATTCAGTTCTTTTTTACTATATCAATACAAAGGGCAAACTATACTGAACAAAAATATAAACGCAACATGCAACAATTTCAAAGATTTTACTGAGTTACAGTTCATAGAAGGAAAATCAGTCAATTTAAATAAATTCATTAGGCCCTAATCTATGGATTTCACATGACTGGGCAGGGGTGCAGCCATGGGTGGGCCTGGGAGTGCATAGGCCCACATACTTGGGAGCCAGGTCCACCCACTGGGGAGCCAGGCCCAGCCATCAGCATGAGTTTTTCCCCACAAAAGGGCTTTATTACAGACAGAAATACTCCTGAGCACCCCTCCTCCTCAGACGATCCTGCAAGTGAAGAATCCAGATGTGTAGGTCCTGGGCTGGCGTGGTTACACGTGGTCTGTGGTTGTGAGGCCGGTTGGATGTACTGCCAAATTCTCTAAAACGACGTGGGAGGCGGCTTATGGTAGAGAAATTAATTATCTGGCAACAGCTCTGGTGGACATTCCTGCAGTCAGCATGCCAATTGCACGCTCCCTCAAAACTTGAGACATCTGTGGCATTGTGTTGTGTGACAAAACTGCACATTTTAAAGTGGCCTTTTATTGTCCCCAGCACAAGGTGCACCTGTGTAATGATCATGCTGTTTAATCAGCTTCTTGATATGCCACACCTGTCAGGTGGATGGATTATCTTGGCAAAGGAGAAATGCTCACTAACAGGGATGTAACCAGAGAAACATTTGAGAGAAATAGGCTTTTTGTGCGTATGGAACATTTCTGGGAACTTTTATTTCAGCTCATGAAAAATGGGACCAACACTTTACATGTTGCGTTTATATTTTTGTTCAGTATATTTCCCTCTGTCCTATCTTTATGTTTCCTGCAATCCCACTGTCACGCCCTGACTCAGGGGAATCGTATATGTTTAGTCAGGGTGTGTATTTTCTTTGTTGTGTATTTTCTATGTTGTATATCTAGTATGTGTAGTTCTATGTTGGCCGGTGTGGTTCCCAATCAGAGGCAGCTGTCGCTCGTTGTCTCTGATTGGGGTTCATACTTAAGCACTGTTTAGTTGTGGGATCTTGTTCCGGTTAAGGTTTGTTGTGTGTCTACCTTAGGACTTCATGTTTTGTTTATTGTTTTGTCGTGTGTTTATTAAGTTGAATAAACATGTATGCATATCACACTGCGCATTGGTCTGACCCGTCATTGAACGAACGTGACAGAAGATCCCACCAAACGAGGACCAAGCAGCTTGCCCAGGAGCAGCAGACACCCTGGACACAGGTAGTGGAGCAGAGATCATGGACTTGGGGGGAGATAAGAGAGGATCTGGCCAGGCAGATGGAGGCCCTGAAAGGGATGAGGGTGAAGGAGGAGAGATTAGCCGAGAGCGGACCCTGGGCGAAGGAGGAAGCCCAGACAGGAGAGGTGAAACGGCGACTCGAGGACGCGGTCGCGACGTAAGACCGAGAAGCAGCCCCAATCATTTTTTTGGGGGGGGCTCACGGGGTGGTTGGCGGAGCCTGGGTTCAGAGCAGAGCCAACTCCCTGTTCCCAGTCCGGCCCTAGCCTGTTCCTGCTCCTCGCACCAAGCCAGTGGTGCGCGTCGCCAGTCCGGCCCGGCACGTTCCTGCTCCTCACACCAAGCCAGTGGTGCGTGTTCCCAGTCCGGTACGGCCCGTGCCTGCTCCCCGCACCAAGCTAGTGGTGTGTGTTCCCAGTCCGGCCCGGCCCGTTCCTGCCCCTCGCACCAAGCCAGTGGTGCGTGTTCCTAGTCCGGTCTGGCCCGTGCCTGCTCCTCGCACCAGACCAGTGGTGCGTTTGTCCTGTCCGGCACGGCCGGTGCCCGTTCCACCGGTGCCTGGTCCGGCACCGGTCAGCTGCTCCACTCCGGAGCCAGAGCAGTCCGCTCCACCGGTGCCTGATCCAGTTCCGTCAGCGGCTCCACTTCGGAGCCAGAGCAGTCCGCTCCACCGGTGCCCGTTCCAGCTCCGGTCAGCTGCTCCACTCCGGAGCCAGAGCAGTCCGCTCAACCGTTGCCCAGTCCAGCTCCGGTCAGCGGCTCCAGTCCAGAGCCAGAGCAGTCCGCTCCACCGGTGCCCGGTCCAGCTCCGGTCAGCGGCTCCAGTCCAGACCATGACGTCAGCCCCTCTCCAGGTTCGGGGTCTCCCATGCCGAGGTCCAGACCAGACCAGGGGCGCAACAGGGAGGCGGAGAGTAACGAGGCGGAATGCCCACCCGGCCCCTACCCTGTTATGTTTATGTTGTGCGGTCGGAGTCCGCACCTTTGGGGGGGGGGGGGGGGGGGTGTACTATCACGCCTTGACTCAGGGGAATCGTATATGTTGAGTCAGGGTGTGTATTTTCTTTGTGTATTTTCTATGTTGTATATCTAGTATGTGTAGTTCTATGTTGGCCGGTGTGGTTCCCAATCAGAGGCAGCTGTCGCTCGTTGTCTCTGATTGGGGATCATACTTAAGCAGCCTATTGGCACTGTTTAGTTGTGGGATCTTGTTAAGGTTTGTTGTGTGTCTACCTTAGGACTTCACGTTTCGTTTATTGTTTTGTCGTGTGTTTATTAAGTTGAATAAACATGTACGCATATCACACTGCGCATTGGTCTGACCCGTCATTGAACGAACGTGACACCCACAGTACATTTCTCTGTAAAAATGATCAACAGAGCTTATATTTAAGAAATATAATCTTCCTGGATAAGGAGCCCCGCTTTGTCTTTTCCCCAAGATGGGCATCGTTCCAAATTAGCAATCAGAGATATAGCCACATCATGTGACAGAGGGAGATTCAGTATACCTGCGTCCGAAATGGCACTATATTCCCTATATAGTGCACTACTTTTGACCGGAGCCCTATGCACTACTTTTGACCTATGGGCCCAGGTCAAAATTAGTGCATTAGAGAATAGGGTTTGGGAAACAGCCTATAATGACAGAGGCCTGGCCAGCGTCTTATTTATTTGTATGTGGGTGGTTTTAGGCTGTATCCCAGAATTTATGACCTTCTCTGCAGCAGACCCTCAGGAGACATTGGCGTGTAACACAATACAGAGGAGCGGTGAGCATAATCCTAGAGTAACATTACTCCGGACCTAATCCTAGAGTAACATTACTCCGGCCACATGCTCTAATGTCCTGGAGCCAAACTGAGCCGCAACACCCCATTAAGTATAAACTGGGCACATCAACATTTTTCAACAACACCAAACGCCTTGAATAAATCAATGGATGTTTATCTCTGTCCTCATGTGATTCAATGATAAAGGTTATTTAAATGTAATAATAATACAAGTGCTGTAGGCTACTACACAGCCCTGTAGTTTCATTCTCGTTCAGTGCTCATAGGGGCTTGGGCCAATTTCTTTTCGATTTCAATTAAGTCAGACAGATTCATTTTTAAATGATGTGTCTTCAAATCTAGGATCAGGGCCTCCCGAGTGGCGCAGCGGTCTAAGGCACTGCATAGCTGTGTTGTGGCGTGACAACCGGCCGTGACCAGGAGTCCCATAGGGCGGTGCACAATTGGCCCAGTGTTATGAGGGTTTCCCACGGGGGGCTAGTATGAAAAATAATGTATGCACTCACTAACTGTAAGTCGCTCTGGATAAGAGCGTCTGCTAAATGACGTAAATGTAAATGTAAATGTTTGGCCGGGGGGCTTTACTTGGCTTATCGTGCTCTAGAGACTCCTTGTGGCAGGCCGGGCGCCTGCAGGCTGACTTCAGTTGTCAGTTGAACGGTATTTCCTCCGACGCATTGGTGCAGCTGGCTTCCGGGTTAAGGGGCGGATGTTAAGAAGCGTGGTTTGGCGGGTCATGTTTCGGAGGACGCATGACTCGACCTTCACCTCGCCCAAGCCCATTGGGGAGTTGCAGCGATGAGACAAGATCGTAATTGGATATCACGAATTTGGGGGGGAATTACCAAAAATATATATATTTATATATACAGTACCAGTCAAAAGTTTGGACACACCTACTCATTCAAGGGTTTTTCTTTATTTTTACTATTTTCTACATTGTAGAATAATAGTGAAGATATCAAAACTATGAAATAACACATATGGATGGAATCATGTAGTAACCAAAAAGGTGTCAAATAAATCAAACTATATTTTATATTTGAGATTCTTCAAAAAGCCACCCTTTGCCTTGATGACAGCTTTGCACACGCTTGGCATTCTCTCAACCAGCTTCACCTGGAATGCTTTTCCAACAGTCTTGAAGGGGTTCCCACATATGCTGAGCACTTGTTGGCTGCTTTTCCTTCACTCTGCGGTCCGACTCATCCTAAACCATCTCAATTTGGTTGAGGTCGGGGAATTGTAGAGGTCAGGTCATCTGATGCAGCACTCCATCACTCTCCTTCTTGGTAAAATAGCCCTTACACAGCCTGGAGGTGTGTTGGGTCATTGTCCTGTTGAAAAACAAATGATAGTCCCACTAAGCCCAAACCAGATGGGATGGCGTATCGCTGTAGAATGCTGTGGTAGCCATGCTGATTAAGTGTGCCTTGAATTCAAAAAAATCACAGACAGTCTCACCAGCAAAGCACCCCCACACCATAACACCTCCTCCTCCATGCTTTACGGTGGGAAATACACATGCGGAGATCATCCGTTCACCCACACCGCGTCTCACAAAGACACGGCGGTTGGAACCAAAAATCTCAAATCTGGACTCCAGACCAAAGGACACATTTCCACAGGTCTAATGTCCATTGCTCGTGTTTCTTGGCCCAAGCAAGTCTCTTCTTCTTATTGGCGTCCTTTAGTAGTGGTTTCTTTGCAGCAATGCGACCATGAAGGCCTGATTCACACAGTCTCCTCTGAACAATTGATGTTGAGATGTGTCTGTTACCTGAACTCTGTGAAGCATTTATTTGGCCTGCAATTTCTGAGGCTGGTAACTCTAATGAACTTATCCTCTGCAGCAGAGGTAACTCTGGGTCTTCCATTCCTGTGGCGGTCCTCATGAGAGCCAGTTTCATCATAGCGCTTGATGGTTTTTGCGACTGCACTTGAAGAAACTTTCAAAGTTCTTGAAATGTTCCTTATTGACTGACCTTCATGTCTTAAAGTAATGATGGACTGTCGTATATCTTTGCTTATTCGAGCTGTTCTTGCCATAATATGGACTTGGTCTTTTACCAAATAGGGCTACCCCCCCCCCCCCTACCTTGTCACAACACAACTGATTGGCTCAAACGCATTAAGAAGGAAAGAAATTCCACAAATTAACTTTTAAGAAAGCACACCTGTTAATTGAAATGCATTCCAAGTGACTACCTCATGAAGCTGGTTAAGAGAATGCCAAGAGTGTGCAAAGCTATTTGAAGAATCTCAAATATAAAATACATTGTGATTTGTTTAACACCTTTTTGGTTACTACATGATTCCATGTGTGTTATTTCATAGTTTTGATGTCTTCACTATTATTCTACAATGTAAAAAATAAAGAAAAACCCTTGAATGAGTAGGTGTGTCCAAACTTTTGACTGGTACTGTATGTATGTATGTATGTATGTATGTATATGTACACACACACACAGTTGAAGTCGGAAGTTTACATACACCTTAACCAAATACATTTAAACAATTCCTGACATTTAATCCTAGTAAAAATTCCCTGTCATAGGTCAGTTAGGATCACCACTTTATTTTAAGAATGTGAAATGTCAGAATAATAGTAGAGAGAATTATTTATTTCAGCTCTTATTTCTTTCATCACATTCCCAGTGGGTCAGAAGTTTACATACACTCAATTAGTATTTGGTAGCATTGCCTTTAAATTGTTTAACTTGGGTCAAACATTTCGGGTAGCCTTCCACAAGCTTCCCACAATAAGTTGGGTGAATTTTGGCCCATTCCTCCTGACAGAGCTGGTGTAACTGAGTCAGGTTTGTAGGCCTCCTTGCTCGCACACGCTTTTTCAGTTCTGCCCACATATTTTCTATAGGATTGAGGTCAGGGCTTTGTGATGGCCACTCCAATACCTTGACTTTGTTGTCCTTAAGCCATAACTTTGGAAGTATGCTTGGGGTCATTGTCCATTTGGAAGACCCATTTGCGACCAAGCTTTAACTTCCTGACTGATGTCTTGAGATATTGCTTCAATATATCCACATAATTTTCCTTCCTCATGATGCTATCTATTTTGGGAAGTGCACCAGTCCCTCCTGCAGCAAACCACCCCCACAGCATGATGCTGCCACCCCCGTGCTTCATGGTTGGGATGGTGTTCTTTGGCTTGCAAGCCCCACCTTTTTCCTCCAAACATAGTTCTATTTTTGTTTCATCAGACCAGAGGACATTTCTCCAAAAAGTACGATCTTTGTCCCCATGTGCAGTTGGAAACCGTAGTCTGGCTTTTTTATGGCGGTTTTGGAGCAGTGGCTTCTTCCTTGCTGAGCGGCCTTTCAGGTTATGTCGATATAGGACTTGTTTTACTGTGGATATAGACACTTTTGTACCTGTTTCCTCCAGCATCTGCACAAGGTCCTTTGCTGTTGTTCTGGGATTGATTTGCACTTTTCGCACCAAAGTACGTTCCTCTCTAGGAGACAGAACGCGTCTCCTTCCTGAGCAGTATGACGGCTGCGTGGTCCCATGGTGTTTATACTTGCGTACTATTAATTGTACAGATCAACGTGGTACCTTCAGGCATTTGGAAATTGCTCCCAAGGATGAACCAGACTTGTGGAGGTCTACAATTTATTTTCTGAGGTCTTGGCTGATTTCTTTTGATTTTCCCATGTCGTCAAGCAAAGAGGCACTGATTTTGAAGGTAGGCCTTGAAATACGTCCACAGGTACACCTCCAATTGACTCAAATTATGTCAATTAGCCTATCAGAAGCTTCTAAAGCCATGACATCATTTTCTGGAATTTTCCAAGCTGTTTAAAGGCACAGTCAACTTAGTGTATGTAAACTTCTGACCCACTGGAATTGTGATACAGTGAATTATAAGTGAAATAATCTGTCTGTAAACAATTGTTGGAAAATTACTTGTGTCATGCACAAAGTAGATGTCCTAACCGACTTGCCAAAAACTATAGTTTGTTAACAAAAAAATGGTGGAGTGGTTGAAAAACAAGTTTTAATGACTCCAACCTAAGTGTATGTAAACTTCAGACTTCAACTGTATAGCCTATGTAAAGGAAGAGAAGCTTAGGCCTAATCCCAGAGAGATAGAGATATGCCGGTGGCTCAGTCTAGGATCAGATTCAATTTGGGGAATTGACTTACCTTGGGAGTCGGCTTACCATGGGAGCTGACTTGCCGTGGGAGCTGGGTAAAGTTGCCCCTAGACACTTACCATGCGAGTAGGGTAAAGTTGCCCTTAGACACTTACTGTGGGAGTTGACTTACTGTGGGAGTAGGGTAAAGTTGCCCTTAGACACTTACTGTGGGAGTTGACTTACTGTGGGAGTAGGGTAAAGTTGCCCTTAGACACTTACTGTGGGAGTTGAATTACTGTGGGAGTACGGTAAAGTTGGCCATAGACACTGATCTAAGGTCAATTGTGTGTTTTCCTAATACCTCTATCAGTTATGGTTAAGATTTGGTGAGAGTAAGATGATCCTAGATCTGAGCAAAATGACAACTTCTACCCAAAGCTTTACTGTGGATCACAGGATTAAGTAGAATGACTAGTAAAATAGAAGGTAGAGGTACAGAAACCATGACAACGTGGTTTACCATCTGTAAACTTCAGCTCTATCTGGTGGCCGAACACAGGAAGTCCAGGGAAGCGCACATCTCTCATGTCTCTCACTGACTTCACCTTATTTTTAGCCAGACTGGACATCTGAAGCTGCAGGTTATTATGGCTGTCACTCTGCAATACAACCAAACACAACACAACACAATCATAAACATAAACACAAAAGCAATACCTTCATGTTCTCATTAACAATGGTGCATCAGTCAGCTGACTACTCCCCATGACCGGGTCAGTAGGGCTCGGCCGTCTCTTTACCTTATACATTGATTAAATATCTTTATATATACGACCTGTGGTAAATATAAATCACATACTTATCAGGAATTTACATTAGGCTATTTGTCCGTAACTGTACTACGATGACTACCATAAACACTTGTTAGGGCAAATCAACAATATATATATGTGTAGAGGTCATGAGGTATTTTGAACAATAGACGAACGCAACAGTTGTTTGCTACCATATTATAAAAGCTTGCATATACGTAATGTAAGCTATGGCATTTTTATTGCGCCCAACAATTTTATATGGTAGTCACCGATGCATTCCATGTGGATTAACATTGTCTTCCATGTGGTTTAACTTGACGACAGAAAGGGTGTAAACACCTAAGACACTACGTTCTGTTCTGTACATACTGGGCGAGATGTTAGGAAAACCACAACATTACTGTGGGGTGAGTCAGAGAGGCATTCATTTGGGAGTGGAAGGCCCAATGCCTGTTGCATGTACAGACACCACCTCACCCACATGTTGTTACAGATATATTGTAGGCTTGGGCCAGATGTCAAGCATGTTATATAAAAGAAGGTTTTGTATTTTATCTTTTAGTTTATTCACTTGCTGGTTTCCATGTGTCCGTGTTGCTGCTCACACCTTTCCTTACTTACCAGCTGACTACTCCCCATGGCCAGGTCAGTAGGGCTCGGCCGTCTCTTTACCTTATCAGTGCTACAAACACAGACACAAGCATGAGCATCTCTGACTTGGTACAGTGCCTTGCAAAAGTATTCATCCCCCTTGGCGTTTTTCCTATTTTGTTGCATTACAACCTGTAATTTAAATGGATTTTTATTAATAACTATTATTAATAACGCTTTGCTATGAAGTCCCTAAATAAGATCTGGTGCAACCAATTACCTTCAGAAGTTAAATAAAGTCCACCTGTGTGCAATCTAAGTGTCACATGATCTGTCACATGATCTCAGTATATACACTGCTCAAAACAATTAAGGGAACACTAAAATAACACATCCTAGATCTGAATGAATGAAATAATCTTATTAAATACTTTTTTCTTTACATAGTTGAATGTGCTGACAACAAAATCACACAAAAATTATCAATGGAAATCAAATTTATCAACCCATGGAGGACTGGATTTGGAGTCACCCTCAAAATTAAAGTGGAAAACCACACTACAGGCTGATCCAACTTTGATGTAATGTCCTTAAAACAAGTCAAAATGAGGCTCAGTAGTGTGTGTGGCCTCCACGTACCTGTATGACCTCCCTACAACGCCTGGGCATGCTCCTGATGAGGTGGTGGATGGTCTCCTGAGGGATCTCCTCCCAGACCTGGACTAAAGCATCCGCCAACTCCTGGACAGTCTGTGGTGCAACGTGGCGTTGGTGGATGGAGCGAGACGTCCCAGTTGTGCTCAACTGGATTCAGGTCTGGGGAACGGGCGGCCAGTCCATAGCATCCTCTTGCAGGAACTGCTGACACACTCCAGCCACATGAGGTCTAGCATTGTCTTGCATTAGGAGGAACCCAGGGCCAACCGCACCAGCATATGGTCTCACAAGGGGTCTGAGGATCTCATCTCGGTACCTAATGGCAGTCAGGCTACCTCTGGCGAGCACATGGAGGGCTGTGCGGCCACCCAAAGAAATGCCACCCCACACCATGACTGACCCACCGCCAAACCGGTCATGCTGGAGGATGTTGCAGGTAGCAGAACGTTATCCACGGCGTCTCCAGACTCTGTCACGTCTGTCACATGTGCTCAGTGTGAACCTGCTTTCATCTGTGAAGAGCACAGGGTGCCAGTGGCGAATTTGCCAATCTTGGTGTTCTCTGGCAAATGCCAAACGTCCTGCACGGTGTTGGGCTGTAAGCACAACCCCCACCTGTGGACGTCGGGCCCTCATACCACCCTCATGGAGTCTGTTTCTGACCGTTTGAGCAGACACATGCACATTTGTGGCCTGCTGGAGGTCATTTTGCAGGGCTCTGGCAGTGCTCCTCCTGCTCCTCCTTGCACAAAGGCGGAGGTAGCAGTCCTGCTGCTGGGTTGTTGCCCTCCTACGGCCTCCTCCACGTCTCCTGATGTACTGGCCTGTCTCCTGGTAGCGCCTCCATGCTCTGGACACTACGCTGACAGACACAGCAAACCTTCTTACATTTACATTTACATTTTAGTCATTTAGCAGACGCTCTTATCCAGAGCGACTTACATGAGCAATTAGGGTTAAGTGCCTTGCTTAAGGGCACATCGACAGATTTTTCACCTAGTCGGCTCGGGGATTAGAACCAGCGACCTTTCGGTTACTGGCACAACGCTCTTACCCACTAAGCTACCTGCCGCCCCTTATCAGGCCACAGCTCGCATTGATGTGCCATCCTGGATGAGCTGCACTACCTGAGCCACTTGTGTGGGTTGTAGACTCCGTCTCATGCTACCACTAGAGTGAAAGCACCGCCAGCATTCAAAAGTGACCAAAACATCAGCCAGGAAGCATAGGAACTGAGAAGTGGTCTGTGGTCACCACCTGCAAAACCAGTCCTTTATTGGGGGGTGTCTTGCTAATTGCCTATAATTTCCACCTGTTGTCTATTCCATTTGCACAACAGCATGTGAAATGTATTGTCAATCAGTGTTGCTTCCTAAGTGGACAGTTTGATTTCACAGAAGTGTGATTGACTTGGAGTTATATTGTGTTGTTTAAGTGTTCCCATTATTTTTTTGAGCAGTGTATATATATATATATACACACACACACACACACACACCTGTTCTGAAAGGCCCCAGAGTCTGCAACATCACTAAGCAAGGGGCACCACCAAGCAAGCGGCACCAAGAAGACCAAGGAGCTCTCCAAACAGGTCAGTGACAAAGTTGTGGAGAAGGATTGGGTTATAAAAATATCAGAAACGTTGAACATCCCACGGAGCACCATTAAATCCATTATTAAAATTGTTTAAGAATATTGCACCACAACAAACCTGCCAAGAGAGTGCCATCCACCAAAACTCACGGACCAGGAAAGGAGGGCATTCATCAGAGAGGCAACAAAGAGACCAAAGATAACCCTGAAGAAGCTGCAAAGCTCCACAGCGGAAATTGGCGTATCTGTCCATAGGACCACTTTAAGCCGTACACTCCACAGAACTGGGCTTTACGGAAGAGTGGCCAGAAAAAAGCCATTGCTTAAAGAAAATAATAAGCAAACACGTTTGGTGTTCGCCAAAAGGCATGTGGGAGACTCCCCAAACATATGGAAGAAGGTACTCTGGTCAGATGAGACTAAAAATGAGCTTTTTGCCATCAAGGAAAACACTATGTCTGGCGCAAACCCAACACCTCATCACCCCGAGAACACCATCCCCACAGTGAAGCATGGTGGTGGCAGCATCATGCTGTGGGGATGTTTTTCATCGGCAGGGACTGGGAAACTGGTCAGAATTGAGGGAATGATGGATGGCGCTAAATACAGGGAAATTCTTGAGGGAAACCTGTTTCAGTCTTCCAGAGATTTGAGACTGGGACGGAGGTTTACCTTCCAGCAGGATAATGTCCCTAAGCATACTGCTAAAGCAACACTCGAGTGGTTTAACGCGAAACATTTAAATGTCTTGGAATGGCCTAGTCAAAGCCCAGACCTCAATCCAATTGAGAATATGTGGTATGACTTAAAGATTGCTGTACACCAGCGGAATCCATCCAACTTGAAGGAGCTGGAGCAGTTTAGCCTTGAAGAATGGGCAAAATTCCCAGTGGCTAGATGTGCCAAGCTTATAGAGACCCCAAGAGACCTGCAGCTGTAATTGCTGCAAAAGGTGGCTCTACAAAGTATTTACTTTGTGGGGGGGGGGGGGGGTGAATAGTTATGCACGCTCAAGTTTTTCTGCTTTTTTGTCTTATTTGTTGTTTGTTTCACAATAAAAAATATTTTGCATCTTCAAAGTGGTAGGCATGTTGTGTAAATCAAATGATACAAACCCCCCAAAAATCTATTTTAATTCCAGGTTGTAAGGCAACAAAATAGGAAAAATGCCAAGGGGGGTGAATACTTTTGCAAGCCACTGTATACCCTACTAAAACATGCTTTTCAAGAACTGCCAGGATGAAATGCCAGAATGTCCAGAATATATAAATATGTTTAAGAATATACACTTTGGAAGAACTGGATCTAGTGAGTCTGATATAGCTACACTGAAATGACTGGGAGGTATTCTGAACAACACTATACCAGATAAAACTGTAAAGCCGCGTCCTATATCACGCTGATCTGAGAGCCACTGACCGGGACTTAGTGACTTCCATACAGCAGGGGACGGCAGCGAAAAGATTGTTGCTGGCGTTGATGCGGGGCATGGTAAAGGCTACAGCCTTGTCCTGAGAGTGAGCGGGGATGGAGATGCAGGTAGAGGTGGAGGTAAAGGGCTGTCTGTCTGTCTGAGATAAGACAGTGCTGCCGGTCATCCTGATCTCTGACCTCCTGCCTGCCCTGGAATGCTTCTGCTCAGGCTCCTTCCCACGTCGGTCCTTCTCAGTGTCCTAAAACAAGAAGCAGTCGACTGGTATGGATGTTGTAAAACTATATTTCTACAGCACCGTATATAGGCTTTGACTTGTATTTACTTAGTTGCTCTGCCCACTTACTGCACATACAGATGGGTAAGAGCATATGCTAAACGAACAGACCTGTAAAATGTAGTATACATTGCTATCTTAGTGCTTTGGGCCCTGACTAAGGGTCCATGTAGTTTATACCTTCACTGGCTTTCTGTTACATGAGGATGAGGACAATACTCCTGTTCCTTGGTCCTCTGGTGATTCCCATGAGCTACTATGAATCCAGTGCATGCTGTTGACCTTGGCATCTTTCAGTATCAATGACTGTATCTCTGGTATGAATCTGGAGCAGGAAGTAGCAGTCATTCAGGTCAATTGCAGTTCATTACATTATTATAACTACTAAACAGTATCTCATAAACATTAGACAATTTCAAGGAAAGTTAAAGGCTAGCAACACAAGGCAAAACATGTGTGTGGCCAGACTATGACACTGTGACAATGTAATATCACATTCCCATCTCATTCGTAAGCAGGTCAGAATATAGGTCAAGAGTCTCACTCCACTCTCTTACAGGCTAATTGCTTCTCCAAGTACACTAGATATGCAAGGTTGACCGGACCCGACTCACCTTTCAGCGAACCCGTCTTTGGTGAAGTACCGGTGAACGAGCAACATGGAGCACATAGCCCTGTCAGCCGGATCGATCTGTAGGCATGACTAAAACAAAGGAGACCTTTACTGTAAAAGTAAACAACCCATGTCCCATTCTTAGGGCCAGGCTTTTTCCTGACCATGTGACCTGACCTGGAAATCCTCCTTGAATTCTTCCTGTTCAACTCACATTGTCAAGACAAACTCCTGTCACACTCCCTACACATTCTTGACTATCTCTCTGTAGACTTACATCCACTATTTCAGCCACTAAGAAGTGGAGTTTGTGGTACTTCCTCCTGGGGTCCCTGAGGAGCTGCACCTCAGGGAGGCTGGCCACAGCAAAGATGGGGTTCTGGAAGTACAGGTCCTGCTGATGGTGGGACAAAGGCCCTATCAAGACAAAGCACGCAACTGTGTGTCAATGTACCATTACATAACAGATAATAGAAGGGGAGGCATCCTGAGGTCATCTCATTCCTAAAATCGTTGTACAGTACCTCAATTATCTATGTAATCCAATTATGACCATCACACATTCAGCAGTAAAACGACACCACTATAACGAGCTAATTGGCTGTACAATCACATAACTTCACTTCTGATTAGCATTGATGGACAGTACACGGCACTGGTTACATCCCCTGCACTCAGAGTGGTGGCAGCGATCACATCACTATGAAGTGTAATGAATCATTAGTGTGACACACAGAGTGTTGTAAATAGCTCTTTCAGTCTGCTGGGAGGATGAGTTCTGTCCACAGACCGCTGGTGGAGGAGAGGAGACAGTATGTCAGCCTCTCCACGTCCCTCCCTACCCTTCACTGTGGCTAATGTCTTCAATCTTCACTGACATTCTGCCATTAGCTCCCGCCAGAGAGCCTCTCTCATCGGAGACAGAGAGATACACACTGGGGCGGATTAGAGAGTCAAATAGCCTGAGTATCCCATTCCACCACAGAGAATTAATGAACCACAGATTGAACCTGCTAAAAGACTCTCTAATACGGAAGGGCTCACTTTTATCTCTCCTCTCACAGTATTAGCATGTGTATCTCCGCCAAGTCAGTTATCCTAATGAAAACACCCAAGGAAAAAACAAAAACAGCAATGTTCTCTCGCTCCACTCTTATTTAGTGCGCTTACAGTGGGGGAAAGTATTTGTCAGCCCCAATTGTGCAGTCTCCCCACTAAAGATGAGAGAGGCCGAATTTTCATATAAGTACACGTCAACTTGACAGACAAAATAGAAAAAAATTCCAGAAAATACATTGTAGATTTTTATGAAATTTGCTTAGGTGGAAAAAGTATTTGTCACCTACAAAACAGTCGGCTCTACAGACCTGTAACTTCTCTTTATAGGCTCCTCTATGTCTTGCCTAATTGCCTATATTCACCGGTTGTCTATTCCATTTGCACAACAGCATGTGAAATGTATTGTCAATCAGTGTTGCTTCCTAAGTGGACAGTTTTGATTTCACAGAAGTGTGATTGACTTGGAGTTATATTGGTGTTGTTTAAGTGTTCCCATTATTTTTTGAGCAGTGTATATATATATATACACACACACACACACACACCTGTTCTGAAAGGCCCAGAGTCTGCAACATCACTAAGCAAGGGGCACCACCAAGCAAGCGGCACCAAGAAGACCAAGGAGCTCTCAAACAGGTCAGTGACAAAGGTTGTGGAGAAGGATTGGGTTATAAAAATATCAGAAACGTTGAACATCCCACGGAGCACCATTAAATCCATTATTAAAATTGTTTAAGAATATTGCACCACAACAAACCTGCCAAGAGAGTGCCATCCCCAAAACTCACGGACCAGGAAAGGAGGGCATTCATCAGAGAGGCAACAAAGAGACCAAAGATAACCCTGAAGAAGCTGCAAAGCTCCACAGCGGAAATTGGCGTATCTGTCCATAGGACCACTTTAAGCCGTACACTCCACAGAACTGGGCTTTACGGAAGAGTGGCCAGAAAAAAGCCATTGCTTAAAGAAAATAATAAGCAAACACGTTTGGTGTTCGCCAAAAGGCATGTGGGAGACTCCCCAAACATATGGAAGAAGGTACTCTGGTCAGATGAGACTAAAAATGAGCTTTTTGCCATCAAGGAAAACACTATGTCTGGCGCAAACCCAACACCTCATCACCCCGAGAACACCATCCCCACAGTGAAGCATGGTGGTGGCAGCATCATGCTGTGGGGATGTTTTTCATCGGCAGGGACTGGGAAACTGGTCAGAATTGAGGGGAATGATGGATGGCGCTAAATACAGGGAAATTCTTGAGGGAAACCTGTTTCAGTCTTCCAGAGATTTGAGACTGGGACGGAGGTTTACCTTCCAGCAGGATAATGTCCCTAAGCATACTGCTAAAGCAACACTCGAGTGGTTTAACGCGAAACATTTAAATGTCTTGGAATGGCCTAGTCAAAGCCCAGACCTCAATCCAATTGAGAATATGTGGTATGACTTAAAGATTGCTGTACACCAGCGGAATCCATCCAACTTGAAGGAGCTGGAGCAGTTTAGCCTTGAAGAATGGGCAAAATTCCCAGTGGCTAGATGTGCCAAGCTTATAGAGACCCCAAGAGACCTGCAGCTGTAATTGCTGCAAAAGGTGGCTCTACAAAGTATTTACTTTGTGGGGGGGGGGGGGGGTGAATAGTTATGCACGCTCAAGTTTTCTGCTTTTTTGTCTTATTTGTTGTTTGTTTCACAATAAAAAATATTTTGCATCTTCAAAGTGGTAGGCATGTTGTGTAAATCAAATGATACAAACCCCCCAAAAATCTATTTTAATTCCAGGTTGTAAGGCAACAAAATAGGAAAAATGCCAAGGGGGGTGAATACTTTTGCAAGCCACTGTATACCCTACTAAAACATGCTTTTCAAGAACTGCCAGGATGAAATGCCAGAATGTCCAGAATATATAAATATGTTTAAGAATATACACTTTGGAAGAACTGGATCTAGTGAGTCTGATATAGCTACACTGAAATGACTGGGAGGTATTCTGAACAACACTATACCAGATAAAACTGTAAAGCCGCGTCCTATATCACGCTGATCTGAGAGCCACTGACCGGGACTTAGTGACTTCCATACAGCAGGGGACGGCAGCGAAAAGATTGTTGCTGGCGTTGATGCGGGGCATGGTAAAGGCTACAGCCTTGTCCTGAGAGTGAGCGGGGATGGAGATGCAGGTAGAGGTGGAGGTAAAGGGCTGTCTGTCTGTCTGAGATAAGACAGTGCTGCCGGTCATCCTGATCTCTGACCTCCTGCCTGCCCTGGAATGCTTCTGCTCAGGCTCCTTCCCACGTCGGTCCTTCTCAGTGTCCTAAAACAAGAAGCAGTCGACTGGTATGGATGTTGTAAAACTATATTTCTACAGCACCGTATATAGGCTTTGACTTGTATTTACTTAGTTGCTCTGCCCACTTACTGCACATACAGATGGGTAAGAGCATATGCTAAACGAACAGACCTGTAAAATGTAGTATACATTGCTATCTTAGTGCTTTGGGCCCTGACTAAGGGTCCATGTAGTTTATACCTTCACTGGCTTTCTGTTACATGAGGATGAGGACAATACTCCTGTTCCTTGGTCCTCTGGTGATTCCCATGAGCTACTATGAATCCAGTGCATGCTGTTGACCTTGGCATCTTTCAGTATCAATGACTGTATCTCTGGTATGAATCTGGAGCAGGAAGTAGCAGTCATTCAGGTCAATTGCAGTTCATTACATTATTATAACTACTAAACAGTATCTCATAAACATTAGACAATTTCAAGGAAAGTTAAAGGCTAGCAACACAAGGCAAAACATGTGTGTGGCCAGACTATGACACTGTGACAATGTAATATCACATTCCCATCTCATTCGTAAGCAGGTCAGAATATAGGTCAAGAGTCTCACTCCACTCTCTTACAGGCTAATTGCTTCTCCAAGTACACTAGATATGCAAGGTTGACCGGACCCGACTCACCTTTCAGCGAACCCGTCTTTGGTGAAGTACCGGTGAACGAGCAACATGGAGCACATAGCCCTGTCAGCCGGATCGATCTGTAGGCATGACTAAAACAAAGGAGACCTTTACTGTAAAAGTAAACAACCCATGTCCCATTCTTAGGGCCAGGCTTTTTCCTGACCATGTGACCTGACCTGGAAATCCTCCTTGAATTCTTCCTGTTCAACTCACATTGTCAAGACAAACTCCTGTCACACTCCCTACACATTCTTGACTATCTCTCTGTAGACTTACATCCACTATTTCAGCCACTAAGAAGTGGAGTTTGTGGTACTTCCTCCTGGGGTCCCTGAGGAGCTGCACCTCAGGGAGGCTGGCCACAGCAAAGATGGGGTTCTGGAAGTACAGGTCCTGCTGATGGTGGGACAAAGGCCCTATCAAGACAAAGCACGCAACTGTGTGTCAATGTACCATTACATAACAGATAATAGAAGGGGAGGCATCCTGAGGTCATCTCATTCCTAAAATCGTTGTACAGTACCTCAATTATCTATGTAATCCAATTATGACCATCACACATTCAGCAGTAAAACGACACCACTATAACGAGCTAATTGGCTGTACAATCACATAACTTCACTTCTGATTAGCATTGATGGACAGTACACGGCACTGGTTACATCCCCTGCACTCAGAGTGGTGGCAGCGATCACATCACTATGAAGTGTAATGAATCATTAGTGTGACACACAGAGTGTTGTAAATAGCTCTTTCAGTCTGCTGGGAGGATGAGGTCTGTCCACAGACCGCTGGTGGAGGAGAGGAGACAGTATGTCAGCCTCTCCACGTCCCTCCCTACCCTTCACTGTGGCTAATGTCTTCAATCTTCACTGACATTCTGCCATTAGCTCCCGCCAGAGAGCCTCTCTCATCGGAGACAGAGAGATACACACTGGGGCGGATTAGAGAGTCAAATAGCCTGAGTATCCCATTCCACCACAGAGAATTAATGAACCACAGATTGAACCTGCTAAAAGACTCTCTAATACGGAAGGGCTCACTTTTATCTCTCTCTCACAGTATTAGGCATGTGTATCTCCGCCAAGTCAGTTATCCTAATGAAAACACCCAAGGAAAAAACAAAAACAGCAATGTTCTCTCGCTCCCCTCTATTTAGCTTGCGCTTACAGTATGTCCAGGGCCAAAATGCCAAAAGGATCATTGGGGTTTTCCTTGTGCAGGCCTGGATAAAAGCCAAAATGCCACAGTTCATTTTCAGCATTGGTTTATTTGTCACTGCTGGCCAGGGATTGAATAAAGTTTATTTATAGAGCAAAGCCAATTGTCCCTCTCTGCCTCTGTAGTAAGCCACAAATCGACATATGATTGTGTTAAGCATTACGAAAGGGACAAATTAATTGGGGGGCTCTTGAGGGAGCCAGGAAAAAATTATGATGTTCCAAATAGCAGCCTATTCTCTATATAGTGCACTACTTTTGAGCAGAGCCCTATAAACCCTGGTCAAAAGTAGTGCACTATAAAGGGAATAGGCTGCCATTTGGGATACAGATTACACTACCTTTTTGTCCCTTCGTGACCTACTTTTCAACAATGGTGAAATCCTAGCAGGCCTGTTGCCCTACTTATATTGAAAAAGCTTTCGGTTATCTGTGTTCCCTTAGGAGAATGGACAACAGTTTGATTAAGCCAGTGTAAATAGTTATTTGAATTACATTCACAATATTAGAGGCCTCAGATGTTATTAAGTCCATATTTCCATCATTGATGCCCACACCCCTAGCCTGGTCCCAGATCTGTTTGTGCTCTTGCCAACTCCATTGCTCATTAGTAATTATTAAGCGAAACATGGCATGACAATGAGTGACAAGGAGTTGATGATAGCATAAACAGACTGGCACTCAGGATAACACACCCATTGGATTGTACTTACCCACTTTGCTGACTATTTTGTGCACCTGGTCCAGGTCAGAAGTCCCCATCAGAAAAGCATTGCTGGTAGCCATCTCTATAATCAAGCAGCCAATGGCCCATACATCTACAGGTCTAGTAAAGAAGATTCAGAGAATCTATCATTCTAAAATGTCCTTCTAGCCAATCAGAAACTATTATTCAACGATGCTGTGGTATAAATATGATATATCTGTACCAAAATGATGAGCAACCCTTAGAAGGTTTGACATTATAATTACTGCGGTCTTATTCCATAACACATTCAAGATTCAACACTGCCCTGAGATCTGTGGTTCTGCTTGATACCAACTTGCTGTAAGTGTTGTCTGCCACTAAAAGTTCTGGGGCTCTGTACCACCTCGTGGCCACATAGTCTGTGAGAGGCTCCCCAGTCGGTGGCAAGGTTCTGGCAAACCCAAAGTCACAGAGCTTCACCACCCCAGAGTTAGACACAAGCACATTCTCAGGTTTGACGTCTCTGTGAATGATCTGTTGAGAAAAGATGCATGTTTCAGGCCAGTGAAGAACTACTGTTTTACTGTCAACAAGTTTCTTTCTTTAAGATTGTTCAACCCCCTTCATAATAGCTGATTGACCTCCTAGTTTTAAACTTGGCAGTTGGCACATACTGTAATGTATTGTATATCGTCCTGTACACTCACTAGGCAGAGTCTATGAAATGAGAATAATATATACAGTGAGGGAAAAAAGCATTTGATCCCCTGCTGATTTTGTACGTTTGCCCACTGACAAAGACATGATCAGTCTATAATTTTAATGGTAGGTTTATTTGAACAGTGAGAGACAGAATAACAACAAAAAAAATCCAGAGAAACGCATGTCAAAAATGTTATAAATTGATTTGCATTTTAATGAGGGAAATAAGTATTTGACCCCTCTGCAAAACATGACTTAGTACTTGGTGGCAAAACCCTTGTTGGCAATCACAGAGGTCAGACGTTTCTTGTAGTTGGCCGCCAGGTTTGCACACATCTCAGGAGGGATTTTGTTCCACTCCTCTTTGCAGATCTTCTCCAAGTCATTAAGGTTTCGAGGCTGACGTTTGGCAACTCGAACCTTCAGCTCCCTCCACAGATGTTCTATGGGATTAAGGTCTGGAGACTGGCTAGGCCACTCCAGGACCTTAATGTGCTTCTTCTTGAGCCACTCCTTTGTTGCCTTGGCCGTGTGTTTTGGATCATTGTCATGCTGGAATACCCATCCACGACCCATTTTCAATGCCCTGGCTGAGGGAAGGAGGTTCTCACCCAAGATTTGACGGTACATGGCCCCGTCCATCGTCCCTTTGATGCAGTGAAGTTGTCCTGTCCCCTTAGCAGAAAAACACCCCCAAAGCATAATGTTTCCACCTCCATGTTTGACGGTGGGGATGGTGTTCTTGGGGTCATAGGCAGCATTCCTCCTCCTCCAAACACGGCGAGTTGAGTTGATGCCAAAGAGCTCGATTTTGGTCTCATCTGACAACAACACTTTCACCCAGTTCTCCTCTGAATCATTCAGATGTTCATTGGCAAACTTCAGACGGCCCTCTATATGTGCTTTCTTGAGCAGGGGGACCTTGCGGGTGCTGCAGGATTTCAGTCCTTCACGGCGTAGTGTGTTACCAATTGTTTTCTTGGTGACTATGGTCCCAGCTGCCTTGAGATCATTGACAAGATCCTCCCGTGTAGTTCTGGGCTGATTCCTCACCGTTCTCATGATCATTGCAACTCCACGAGGGAGATTGACAGTTATTTTGTGTTTCTTCTATTTGCGAATAATCGCACCAACTGTTGTCACCTTCTCACCAAGCTGCTTGGCGATGGTCTTGTAGCCCATTCCAGCCTTGTGTAGGTCTACAATCTTGTCCCTGACATCCTTGGAGAGCTCTTCGGTCTTGGCCATGGTGGAGAGTTTGGAATCTGATTGATTGATTGCTTCTGTGGACAGGTGTCTTTTATACAGGTAACAAACTGAGATTAGGAGCACTCCCTTTAAGAGTGTGCTCCTAATCTCAGCTCGTTACCTGTATAAAAGACACCTGGGAGACAGAAATCTTTCTGATTGAGAGGGTGCCAAATACTTATTCCCCTCATTAAAATGCAAATCAATTTATAACATTTTTGACATGCGTTTCTCTGGATTTTTTTTGTTGTTATTCTGTCTCTCACTGTTCAAATAAACCTACCATTAAAATTATAGACTGATCATTTCTTTGTCAGTGGGCAAACGTACAAAATCAGCAGGGGATCAAATACTTTTTTCCCTCACTGTATATACACACAGTGCTGCTTGAAAGTATGTGCAATTACAGATTTTTTCAGTTTTATCATGAAATCTTCATTTAATCAGTACCAGTCTTTTTGATCTTAGATAACAGGTTTATATTTACCAATACCATATGTTGGTGTAGAGGAAATCATGCGTGTAGTAGAAAAACTTAATTAAAAAGGAATTAGTGCAGGTGCAAAAATAAGTGAACCCCAAGTTGCATTGGTTAAATCAAGTAGGTAAGTAGAATCAGGTGGGTAAATAATTAGCTACCAAATGAACCAATCAAAGGAGAGATCGTTAGGAAAGAGTTTGGGCGGGACTCTGATAAATAGAGATAAGAAACCTGGTCAGTTTGCTGTTACCCATCCAGGTGAATGCAAAGCACACCATGACAAGAGGAAAGGAGCTTGCAGAGGACATCAGGACGAGGGTAGTGAGAGCATATCAGTCTGGGGAAGGCTATAAAATCATCTAAAAAAGATTTGAGCTCCATCAGTCCACTGTGAGGCAAATCATTTACAAATGGAGAGCATTTAACATGACAGCAACTTGGCCTAGAAGTGGACACCCTTCCAAAATATTCCCAAGAGCCACAAGAACAATAATAAATCAGGTAAAAGCCAACCCAAACATAACATCTAGAGATTTGCAGACCTCTCTTGCTGCATCTCAGGTAACTGTGTCACGGATGCCGCCGAGGCTGCTCCTCCTCCTTGCTCGGGCAGGCTTCGGCGTTCGTCGTCCCCGGAGTACTAGCTGCTGCCGCTCGATGTTTCGATGTTTGTCTTGTATTGTCTAGTTGGGACACCTGTTTCGTATTCTGTATTGATTATGTACCATATAAGTTCCCTTGTTTTATGTTTGCCTTTGTGTGTTATTGTCCGCGTCTCTTGTATGTATGTTCGGCATTGACCATCTTGTTTATTACGCACTCCGCGTACATTTCTCCTCTTGTGTTTGGAGGCTTTTGTTTTGTGCGTATTTTACTTTGGAAAGTAAAGTAGTCGTTACTGATCCTCTGTGTCCTGCGCCTGACTTCACCGCCGCATACACCTCAGCATTGACAAACTGCATGCTTCAACAACAATAAGAAGAACACTGAATCGAAATGCCATTCATGGGAGGGTTGCTAGGAAGAAGCCTCTGCTGTCAAAAAAGAACCAAACTGCCCGTCTTAACTTTGCCAGAGACCACCTGGACAAACCTGAAGGTTTCTGGAAGTCCATTCTCTGGACCGATCAGTCCAAAATTGACCTTTTTGGTCACAATCAACACCGCTATGTTTGGCGAAAACCCAACACTGCCTACCACCAAAATAACCTTATCCCAACAGTCAAGCATGGTGGTGGGAATGTCAAGATCTGGGGCTGCTTTTCCTCCTCTGGACCTGGACGACTCCACATCATTAAGGGAACCATGAATTCTGAGGTATACCAGGAGATTCTTGAACAGAACGTCAGGCCATCAGTCAAGGTGTCACGATCGTCGTTAAGAGAGGAGGACCAAGGCGCAGCGTGATGAACGAACATGTTTATTTATCATTAGCGATAAACACGGACAGTAAACAAAAACAACAAACGACTCGTAACGTCCTAGGTAACATAGACCAACACGGAACAAGAACCCACAAACACAAAGGGAAAAACAGACAGTTTAAATATGGCTCCCAATCAGAGACAACCAGCCAACAGCTGACACTCGTTGCCTCTGATTGGGAGTCACTCAGGCCAACATAGAAATAAACAAACTAGAACTCCCAACATAGAAATACACCACATAGAAAGAACACACCCTGGCTCAACATATAGAGTCCCAGAGCCAGGGTGTTACAGTACCCCCCCCTAAAGGCGCGGACTGAGACCGCGCCTCAACTAGAGCAAAACAGGGGAGGGCTGGGTGGGCATTCCTCCTCGGCGGCGGTTCTGGCTCCGGCCTTGCCCACCACCCTCCAATAAACCCCCCATAGCGCCCCTGGTCCGGTCTGGCCCCGCTGGCTGGAGCTGAACTGGACGTAGCAGGAGCGGTTAGCTTCAGCTCCGTAGTGGAGCAGTTGACCGGTACCTTACCAGGCACCGGTGACCCAGGCACGGGTTGTGCTGGACTGACGACGCGCACCCCTGGCTTGGTGCGTGGAGCCGGAACGGGCCGGACTTGGCTGATGACTCGCACCCCTGGCTTGGTGCGTGGAGTAGGAACGGGCCGAACCGGGCTGACGATGCGCACCCCTGGCTTGGTGCGTGGAGCCGGAACGGGCCGGACCGGGCTGACGATGCGCACCCCTGGCTTGGTGCGTGGAGCCGGAACGGGCCGGACCGGGCTGACGACTCGCACCCCTGGCTTGGTGCGTGGAGTAGGAACGGGCCGGACCGGGCTGACGATGCGCACCCCTGGCTTGGTGCGTGGAGTAGGAACAAGCCGGACCGGGCTGGCGACGCACACCGTAGGCTTGGTGCGAGGAGCAGGGACAGGCCGGACCGGGCTGACGACGCACACCGTAGGCTTGGTGCGTGGAGCAGGGACAGGCCGGACCGGGCTGGCGACGCACACCGTAGGCTTGGTGCGTGGAGCAGGGACAGGCCGGACCGGGTTGGCGACGCACACCGTAGGCTTGGTGCGAGGAGCAGGGACAGGCCGGACCGGGCTGGCGACGCACACCGTAGGCTTGGTGCGAGGAGCAGGGACAGGCCGGACCGGGCTGGCGACGCACACCGTAGGCTTGGTGCGTGGAGCAGGGACAGGCCGGACCAGGCTGGCGACGCACATCGTAGGCTTGGTGCGAGGAGCAGGGACAGGCCGGGCCGGGCTGGCGACGCCCACCGTAGGCTTGGTGCGAGGAGCAGGGACAGGCCGGGCCGGGCTGTGGAGACGGATAGGAGACCTGGAGTGAAGAGCTGCCACAACCCGTCCTGGCTGAATGCCTACCTTCACACACTCTGTGTGAGGCATCAGCACAGGACGTACAGGGCTGTGTACCCGTACTGGCATAACAGCACGTGACACTGGCGCAGGATATCCGGGACCGAGGAGGCACTGGAGGCCACGAGCGCTGAGCCGGCACACTCCGTCCTGGCTGCATGCCCACCTTCGCACAACACGTGCGGGGTGCTCGCACAGGACGTACCGGACTATGCCGGACCACTCGTGGCACAGTACGCAGCTCCGCATACCCCGGAACCTGACCAGTCTCATGCTGCCATGCCTGAGTACGGGGAGTTGGCTCTGCTCTCCATCCAGGCTCCGCCAACCTGCCTTCTGGCCCCCCAAACCCGGTGGCCTCCTCTCCAAATCGCCCTGTGGCAGCCTCCTGCTGCCCAGCCGCCCATGCCGTGTGCCCCCCCCAAACATTTTTTGGGGTTGCCTCTCGTCCGTCCGACGATGACACTGCTGACGCCGCTGCTCCTCTCTCGCCAGGGCCTTAATCCTAGCCCATGGCCCTTTGCCCCCGAGCATGTCCTCCCAGGACCACGATTTGCCCACCTGGGCCATCGCCAACCTCTCCATCTCCTTTCCCGGCGCTTCCTCCCATGTCCAGTCTGCCTGCTCCTGGACACGCTGCTTGGTCCTTGTATGGTGGGTTCTTCTGTCACGATCGTCGTTAAGAGAGGAGGACCAAGGCGCAGCGTGATGAACGAACATGTTTATTTATCATTAGCGATAAACACGGACAGTAAACAAAAACAACAAACGACTCGTAACGTCCTAGGTAACATAGACCAACACGGAACAAGAACCCACAAACACAAAGGGAAAAACAGACAGTTTAAATATGGCTCCCAATCAGAGACAACCAGCCAACAGCTGACACTCGTTGCCTCTGATTGGGAGTCACTCAGGCCAACATAGAAATAAACAAACTAGAACTCCCAACATAGAAATACACCACATAGAAAGAACACACCCTGGCTCAACATATAGAGTCCCAGAGCCAGGGTGTTACACAAGGAGCTAAATCTGGGTCGAAAATTGGTCTTCCAACAAGACCACGACCCAAAGCATTCAAGCAAATCTACCAAAGAATGGCTCAGGAGAAAGAAGATTTGTGTTTTGGATTGGCCAAGTCAAAGTCCTGACCTAAATCCAATCGAGATGCTGTGGCAGGACCTGAAGCGGGCAGTTCATGCCAGACACCCCTCAAACCTCACTCAATTGGCTGAGTTCTGTAAGGAGAAGTGGGCAAAAATCTCTCAAAACAGATGTCAGAGACTGATTACTGGCTATAGGAGACATTTAGTCCAAGTTATCGGTGCCACAAGCTATTGACTGAAGGGGTTCACATATTTTTGCACACATCAAATCTGAGTTTCTGTTAAATAAACCACTTGTTAAATAAACAATTACAATATATCATATGTCTTTGTTTCTGTCATTTACTTGTAATGTCTTTATTACGAATTGAGGTTTAGATTTGGCTTTTGTTTATTTTAATATTTTATAGCAAAATAATGAACAGGTCTGTAGGGTTCACATACTTTCCAGCAGCACTGTTTATGCCATTTAGCAGGCGATTTTATCCAAAGCGATAGATTTTACGCACGGGTGGTCCCAGGAATCAAACTCACTATCCTGAAATTGCAAGCACTATGCTCTACCAACTGAGCTACAGAGGAATACTTACATTGCTGGTGTGAAGGTAATCCATGGCACGTAGAATTTGGAACATGTACTTTCTGAGGCGCTTGCTGTCCAAACCACGAGGGTATCTCTCTAGGTCTTCCAGAACTGTGCGGTCAATGTACTCAAAGACAACATACAAGCGCTTCTTGAACCGGAATACCTCCAGCATGTTCACAAGGTTTTCATGGCGAAATTGCTGTGTAAAGACATATAAGAACATAATTAACGTTGTTGTAAAATGCTGTTATCAGATCTGTGACATTAGTTGGACTGTAGCCAATGAGTGAATTGTACCCAATATTTGAGACAGTCACTGTAACACTGCTGCTTTAAGTGGAACTGATCAATAAATTCCTCACCCTCAGAAGTTGTATTTCTCTCATGATAACCTTTTTCATGGTTTTGTCCTCTTCCTTGTCATTGAACCTCTTGATGGCCACAATGTGTCCAATCTCCTTGTGTCGACACTTCATCACTGTACCATAGCTCCCCTCACCCACGACGCCAAGGTTCTCATACATATCCATCTTCCTTCAGTGGGCTGTCCTTGAGCACATATGGATAAATGTATTCATATTCATTTCAAAGCATAAACAGATATAAAGGCAAAATACATACAACATCTAGTGTAATACTTTCACATTTACAGTGAAAACAGGGTCATATAGCCTACAACTTGACTACACAACACAATGTGGTCAAAATACTTACTGCTGTGTAGATACAAAGACTACATTAATCTATTTATTTTTTTCTCCTGACTTTACTGCTCTCATAAATTACACAATTTCATGGTTGGAATAAACATTGCCTCAAACTGACAGATCACTTCATGTTTGCAAGACACACTTCAGTTTTTCTTCCCAGGATTATCCACCCCAGAATAATTCTGTCACAAACAAAAAAGTGAGAAATTAGAATGTGGTTACCATAACAACAGGCAAACAACATGACAATTGAGAGGCGTTCTAGAACATTCCAAATGGATACAGTGGACACTTCATACAGCTGAAAGACACTGGATGAATAGTGTTATTATTAACCAAGTGAATAATTAAATTTGAGCTGACATGTAAACTAGTCTTTATACCAAGGAATGACCATAACCATGGACACATGGTCAACTTGATATATGCATCCTTTGCTGCACATGACTTGATGAAATGTAAATAATGCTTCAGAGACTACACCAGCATGTGTTCTTTGCACAGGTATCCCTGTTGCAACTGGTCGAGGGCATGATGAAGTGATGAAGTTGGGATTAAACCATTATTCATTGAGGAAAGGGTTAGCTCGTTAAATAAAAACAAGCAGCCGTTTATGTGATGTATGATAGACGAGACTTTGAATACTAACCAAGTATAGGTGTCGTGTAAATTGCATGTACTGTTTACATATTGGATGAAATGTGTTAATTAGATAACATTCACACTACGCATAGTGAAAGTGGACTGTTCCAAACGAATGTTCTTGCTTGTTTCCCCTGTGGAAGTACATGACGTCACTGTAGTTGTTTTGGAGAGAAGAAAACGGCACAGACGGAAGATTTACCCCAAATAATACCGGTTTCGACAGATTTTTATGACCAAAGTATAATTATTTACGTTTTGAATCATGTCTACTCCTGCTAGAAGACGACTTATGAGAGATTTCAAAAGGTAGTGCAACGTTTTGGCTCTGCTTTCGTGTGTTGTATTTAGCTAGCCACTTTGCTTTAGCTAGCTAACGCGTTAGATAATTTGAGGCCTGCAGTACATGTACACAGTTGTTTGTAGGTAGGTAATCATAGAGCCAGTCATTAATTGAGGACTTTGTACTGTCTGATACCTAACTAGTTATGGTAAGAGGTCAATAATGTTGCTTCAATTAGCCAGCTCAGATAGCCAACTAGCATGCATACTAGAGCTACATTGCCATACAGATGTTAGCTATTTGAGGCTATCTAACGTTAGCCAGCTAACTTGTTTTTTTTAGCTACCTACAGTAAGTTAACGTTATCTTGCTAAATCAAACTAATAATAATAATATGCCATTTAGCAAACTAGTCAGTCACTATGCATTTAGCTAACTAGTTAAGTTTAGTAAGGAAATGAAACACAGTCAAGTTTAATAATTTATATTTGGTTAACTAACGTTAAATAGCTACCTAATTTACTAGTTCTACAACTAGTAAAACGAGTTAGTTAGCTAATCTCAGCGTATTGATGGCCGGGACAGGTGAGCGTATTGATGGCCGGGACAGGTGTTACACAACCCTAACGTTTGATTGGGTGTGTTGCCCTGCTCTTGTATGCCGTATTTCCTGACCTACTATGTATTTAGGGACAACATTCAGCAACATTTTATCTAGGCAATACTATAAGTATTCAGTTATGTGAAAGGAGAAACTCCAAAAGTTGGGGTAAGGCATGGATTTCAGAAGTAGGCCTCTATTCCTATAGAGGACAAACGCACCTGGCCAGGGCTTCATGTAAAGCCCCTGCAGCTACCGTCTGTTGTTTGATTCCAGATGGCATCAGCATGGGCAAGCAAATTAGTTACACTAGAGCAGCTCAATGTCTGTCCCCAGATATAGTCTGTAGCACACCTGTCAATGGAAAAAGGAGATGCTTAGAAACGCCATGGAGACTTTTGATTAGAACATTTGATTTGACTCTTGGAGATGCGCATATATAGTAACATTGTAATCCTACCCTACCTGGCTGCCTCTGCCACCAACTGAGAACAAGAGAACAATGGAGCATTCCTTGATAAGCATTGTGGCTTTGATCAATGGTTTGTTGAATTCAATCTCACAGAACGCATACTGGTAGAACTACGTTGTTCATAAGATCTTTATTCGTATCTGGCAACATCAAGATTTCCTTGCAGGGAACAGCAACATTTCAAGTATTAGCCTAATAAAGCATAATTAAAATGTGACTCACAATGGATAGCAGCACCGTGCAGTAGCCTTTCAGTTTACAGTGGGTAGGGAGCTAACAGTAAATGGGGTTAATTGCAGTGGTATTCTCTGTAGAGACTTGTAGATGGATCTGCAAAAATACAGTCTACCTTGTGCATGAAGGAAAGCTGTTAGTGAGCTTTTTTTTATTATTGTGGTGAGTTTTGGAACGGTACTGCTGGATTTAGTGACAAAATACGCTTGACACAGTGGGATCTTTTTGTCGGTAAAATTAATTATGCGAGTAATGGCAGTGCAACCAACTTTTTTTATGTGCAAATATTGCTATAATAACCATCATATCGTAGTATGCGATGATATGTTGTGTGATCCTCCCACTACGAAAGCATTCAGTTTATTCGGCTACAGATGAAATAAGTTATGAACACAGGGTGGTGAAAGTGCAAAGTGATGAGCCAATAAATATTGAGGGTCTTATTCTGGTGACATGATGATCGATGCTTGGCTGCCATTTGACAAAATAAAAATAATCTCGCTCTTTTGTCCATAATAATCTCATGTAGGTGGCCTACCCACACTGTATCTTCGAGCTGTTGTCTAGAGCGCACATGCCAAGACCAAATTGGGGACATTCCCTATAACAATTTTTTTGTTACAAAACAATCAGTAGTGTTAAATACATGGGAATTTAACCGCAAGTTATTTTTATATGCACTACGTCATCACGCACAGCCTTTTATCTGCAACAAGTCAATTTGATGGAAACATCATTGGTGGGAAAATGTACATATTGTTTTTATGCAGATTTTATAATATTAGCATTAATATCTGTCGCCAATTGGATGGAAACCTAGCAATGGCACTTCCTTATTATCTTGTTCACATAACTTTTGCACTCATGGTAGAAGGCACATGGGTATCTTCTTGTTTGGCCCAAAATATTACAACGTTTCTAAAACAGTCGTCTGGGTTTTAAGTTGAATTATATTGTTTCTCTGTCCTCAGACTTCAAGAAGACCCCCCAACTGGCGTGAGTGGTGCTCCATCAGAGAATAACATCATGCTTTGGAACGCGGTTATTTTTGGGTGAGTGTTCTAAAGCCACCCTTCTCATTGTGCCAGTGTGATCATCCTGGCATGGGCACCAGGACCGTATGGATTAGGTGGATATGGGCAAGTTGAGCTGTGGTTTAGTTAGAGGGAGGGAGAGGTGTGTGTTGGCTGGGGGTTAGGTTAGATGGTGACATGTAGTTGTTGAACTGTGGAAGGCCAGTTGCCACATATAAAGTTAATTAGAAATGAGAGCATTTGTATCAATCCCAGTAATGTATTGCATTGTCATACTCATTAATTAACCTTCTATTGTAATGTGATGTGCTATTAATAGTCCGTATCAAGATTGTATTTGTTATAACGGGGCAGTGTATAAGGAGTGGTATTGTGGGAATATGTTTGTTTTGCTAGTCAGGGTCTAATCGCTGATATGAGTTTGTTACAGTGCAAGTAATTGTTCCTCTTTATTTGCAGGCCTGTGGGTACACCATTTGAGGATGGTAAGTAAAAATGTTTTACTAAATCAATTAACTAAACGTAATCTATCATAACATTACTGTAACTCGTGAACTGGTTAAAAACAATGAACTTGGCTTTCTTACTTTTTGCAATCGTCCTAGCCAAGAGCAAAGTCAGTCTTTGTATTCTAAAGTGTGATACATTTGAACAGGTTCATGACTCTGCTGCCTTTGAATTATCATATCATGTGGTCAGCTCTATAATTCAATAATTAGTATTGTCACACAGACTGATTACCTAGTGTGGGGTGACAAACCAGTTTGTTGCCTCCATAAGCTGACCCTGACAAAAGCATTATGCTGGTCGCTGTATGTCATAATTGTCTATCTCCCAGACTTTACTGTGGGTGATAAATTTTAGGCTCCCTAAAGCCACCCTGTCAATTACCAAAATGTTTCACCCAAATGGTAAGAAATAGTCCTTATGGACACATTCGAGATGTCCTAAATACTTTAGCCATGTTCTTGATGGGATAGTGAATTCTGATGGGATAGTGAGTAAGCTATTCTGTTTCGTGATTGTGTATACATTTTTATTTGAAATTAAAACAATCCTTTTGATCTTGTAGTCTATGCAGATGGAAGTATATGTCTAGACATCCTTCAGAATCGTTGGAGCCCAACATATGATGTGTCGTCCATTCTGACGTCTATCCAGGTTGGTTTGTAATCCTTCTCTTCTCTATCAGTCTGATGTCATAATAGATTACTTTGTGTTCCTATATTTAAAAAAATGTAAGTTTCTTTATGTAGTGTACTTCATTGTTGTTTTGCAGTATATTCTGTGAGAAAAAAAATCCACTGCAAAGTACTTATCTGATCATAGCAGCAACCTTTGGGTCACACTTTATTTAGATAGTATGACCATCTACAGATGGACTATCTGTTGATAAGCAAACTGCTTGCTAAGGTTAGAGTTAGGTTTAGAATAAGGGTTAGTAGATAGTCTGTAGAGCATCTACAAATGGACTATCCAAAAAGTGTTACCTACCTTTGTTGTAGCGTTGTCGTGGTATTTCTGCTCCTGGATATACATAATACTGACTCAGCGTCCAAGAACCACACACTTTCATACTGGTGTAGGGTCCAAGAACCACAACACGTCCATACTGGTGTAAGTGTCCAAGAACCACACACTTTATATGGTGTAGGGTCCAAGAACCACACACTTGCATAATGGTAGTTAGGGTCCAAGAACCACACACTTTCATAATGGGTGTAGGGTCCAAGAACCACCCACTTCCATACTGGTGTAAGGGTTCCAAGAACCACACACTTCCCATATGGTGTAGGGTCCAAGAACCACACACTTTCATACCGGTGTAGGGTCCAAGAACCACCCCTGGTGGTAGTGGTCCAAGAACCACACATCTTTCATACCGGTGTAGGGTCCAAGAACCACACACTTCCATAATGTTGTAGGGTCCAAGAACCAACACCTTTCATACCGGTTGTAGGGTCCAAGAACCACACACTTTCATAATGGTGTAGGGTCCAAGAACCACACACTTTCATACCGGTGTAGGGTCCAAGAACCACACACTTTCATACTGGTGTAGGGTCCAAGAACCACACACTTTCATACCGGTGTAGGGTCCAAGAACCACACACTTTCATACTGGTGTAGGGTTCAAGAACCACACACTTTCATACCGGTGCATTCAATCACTTTTTTGTGTGTTTACAGTCGCTGTTGGATGAGCCGAATCCTAACAGTCCAGCCAATAGCCAGGCTGCACAGCTTTATCAAGAAAACAAGCGGGAGTACGAGAAGAGAGTTTCTGCCATTGTGGAGCAGAGCTGGGTAGACTCCTAACGCATCTTCCCCCCAGCTTCTCATCAGTCCTATCAAATACTTCAATCTTTCATTTAGCTCCTCAAGAAAAGAAGTCAACATCAGAAGAACTAAAGTGCCACTAGAAAATAATAAAAATCAGTAGGGACTTTTACTTGCTTGCCAATACAATTGAGGAAAATCTGATACTTGTGTTCTTGTTCTTATTTTTTTTATTGCATGATGTGAAATAAGTTATTGCAAGCAGAATTTGTAATATATTTTTTGTTGGATTGATGCTGTTATTGTTTAGTTTCTACAGAATGTTTTATTTTTCAACATCTCTTGGTTTGAACAGAATGGACTGTTGGAGAGTATGTTGTCATATTGGTAGTAATCCATAAAATATTATTTGTTGAGCGAATGGCTTCCTCAAATTCTGCATTGTTTGTCATGTAGCATAAATTTAAAACCAATTGTCCAGCTATAAAGCAGACCGCTTCTCTTGCCCCCATCCCGGTAGTAGTTTCAAATTACCTCCCTGAATGAAAGGAGTCAGTACTATTGATCACGATAACTATGGCATTCTGCATGTCGATGATTAAAGAAACTGGTGGCAAACCTTCTTTTTTTTTTTTAAGATGGCTGATATGATCTGTAACAGTTTTATCGAGTTCAAGTACAGTGGCACTTGTACTAAGAGGACATTTGGAGTTTGGCTCATTTAGGAAAATGGACACATCAGGACTACCGAATAAGGGCTGATTCCAACAAAAATCAATGCATCTGCTTTTTCTCAGAGCCTGGACATAGTTCTTTTTTTCACGCTTGCGTTTGTCTCTTCAGTGTATCTGGTACCCAATGAAAGGTAGCTAGCTTGAGATGCTTATACAATAACGAGCACACTGTCCATATACAAAATAATTATGGAAGTCATTTTTCATTAAATCTGTTTTTTGTGACAGACAGTATGGGTCATATTTTGGCTAGTGGTTTATTTCACCTTATAAGGAGAAGGGATATGTTATACATTTTTGTGAATTTACTCTAAAAACAATGTATACTTATATGCTGTATAAACATAAAACACATTTTTCAGACTTTGAGATGATTTCGATTTCAGCTAATTTGTTTTACTTAAGTGAAAAGTGTAGCTGTGGCATTGTGTGTGTCTTTGATGGTTTTATGGAAAGGGGTATTGAACTCTTACCCTATGAGGTCCAGAGCCTGCTGGTTTCTGTTCTACCTGATAATTAATTGCACCCACCTGGTGTCCCAGGTCTAAGTCAGTCTCTGATCAGAGGGGAACAACAACAAAAAGGAGTGGAACTGGTTTAGAGGTCCAGAGTTGAGGGGACTAGGGTAAATAATCCTTATCACTGCATCCTCGATGGGGAGTAGCAGGCCACCAGGAACCTCCAAGTTCGGCTTTCTCACAATAGCCAAATAAATACCGGCTAGTAGACCGGGGATACGTGGGAATGAGAGAATGGGCAACCAGAGGTAGATAAGACTGGCAGGCAGGGGGCAGTGTTCGCCTTAATGCCCAGTGGGCAAGCACCAGGGCGTGATAAATGGGGTGAATTCACTATGAATATCGTTTATAGAACCAAATGGCGCAAAACGTGTTTCTATTGGACAAATTCAAGTAGGTCCATCCCTGTTTCTTAATGATTATAGTAGCCCATGGGGTGTAATCATTATGCCGATTCTGTTGCAAAACGTTTTGCAGAAAACAATTTTGACTTTCTATAGGACAAATTCAGGTAGGTTCCTCCCGGTTTCATTCCGTATGCTCAGTTTGGTTCTTAAACGGTTTCCGTAATGAATTGAATACACCCCTTGAGTGTATTCATTACGTCAATTCTGTTGCAAAACGTTTCTTAAACAGAACGGGAATGGACCTACCTGAATTTGTCCAATAGAAACTAGTTTGTTGCAAAATGGTTTTCAGTTTCCTACGATTTGGACTAATAATTACATCCGAGCATAGACTGTAGAAAGCACATTGGAGCAGAAGATCTGAGGTTTATCCCCTCTGGTCTTCTGGTTCAATGCATTTTGAGGAGGAGGCAAGGGGAGGAATCAAGGAAATACAATGAGGTTCACCCTGGGATAATTGATAGAACGGGTGAAGACCACATGGAAAGCCCTTTTCTGGACACCTTCAAAAATTGTATTTGAATGTGAGGTGCACAGATGCAGACTCAGGAGATTGATTGAACATGTAAAAAGCGTAACTCATCACATGGCATATTCCTGGCCTTACCATGCTTTGTTCTTGCAACATGTTCCCACTCATGTTATTCTCATAATGGGCCTTCTTTTTTTAATTAGATATTAAAATCAGGCAAGTCAGCTAAAATGATTTTAATGTATAAAATGTTTAGCTTGTGTTACATTTGTTGTAATACATGATTAAGAAACAATAAGAAGCTTGCATGTTAAGAGAATAACATTTTAAAACTAACATTTTAAAACCATATGCATCTGAGTAAAGTTAGACAATAAGGTCATCCATCCATAACTGAGCAGGTCATCCAATCATCGTTTCTGAAGGAGAGGGAAACAACATGGTTATGGCTGTGTGTCCTTACACTGTTACCTTGCCTCCTTTGGTCTGTGTCTGATCACTGACCTGAATGAAGCAGATAGCAGAAAGCAATGTTTTGGAAGGCATAGCTAGAGACTAGACACCGGCCTAATTGCTTTCACCTGTCTAGCTTTTTTAGATTTATGTTCATGAAAGAAGGCAAGACAGGAAGAGGAGGCATTACTTTGGTATGATATATAACCTACCTGATTTTTCATGATCTCATCTCTGGTTTTGAAAACAGGGGCATCCTCCACAACAATTCCTTCAGCCATTTCATTCACTTTCTCCAAGAGGTCTGGACTGTATCTGAGAGAACATAAAGGAACAGCAGTTAGTTAGTCAGCTACCTATATTGCATGCCATACATTTGGTATATTTTGTTAAAAGGCATTTTAGCTAAATAGCAAGTCAAGTAGTCAATGCACGTGATGTGTATTTATTGTTAACTCACCGACAGCCAAGAAACACGTTGTTGGCCCATACCATGGACAAAGCTAGCAGCTGATCAATGTGTGGGTCCTCAAAGTCGTTTATATTTCTGAATAGGAATGCCCTCCTGGCCTTCCAATGTTTTTCACTTTCTGAGATGCCACGATATGTATCTACAAGCTCGGACAAATGCCTGTTTTGTTCAATGAATTCCTCGATATCCCCCTCCGCCATTTCGACAAGTAAACAAGACTTCCTAATACAAAATGCTTGTGCGCAGAAGCACAGCAGAGGGCAGGAAGTTCTTCCTTCTTCTTCTATGGTAGTATGGCGGTCCGCAAACAACTTTAGACGTGCCTGCCGCAACATACTGGATGGGGTGAAAACTGATACATTTTTACTCAAAATAATAGTGAGAAGGTAAAGGTGAAAAAAGATACTTCTAATATTCTAAAGTAAACAAAAACTGTACTCCTTCAGTCAGATTAAAAGGTATATTCAGATCCCTACACAGGCTCAGGAACCTGGGAGGGGGGACCTCTTCATTCAGTATTCCCTGTAACAATTTTGCCTGTCCTGGAGATCCAGAAATCTTTTTGCTGCCTTCACAATGATTGATTGATTTTATTATTAGTTTGAGTAATTCAATTTATCACTTGCTTAATAAATGCTACAAAGTCCACCTTCTTCACTGTTAAGCCGAAACCACGTCAAAACTTGCGTGCGAGAGTAGAGAGTGTCAATTCAAATACACTGTGTAGCGTATGCCAACTGAATTGTCATGAGAATCCATAATAAACAGTTGTATTTGCTATGTTCGCTATGTAGCCCTTATATATTTGTTGTTGTTGTGTGTTCCTTTTGACTCACCTTATGTGTCATATGGGAGCCACCATACCTGCATGCCTGCATTAAACAGTTATGTTAGCTCATGAACGTGAGGAGAGTTGTAGATACAGTGCATTCGGAAAGTATTCAGACCCCTTCCCTTTTTCCACATTTTGTTACGTTACAGCCTTATTCTAAAATTGATTAAATTGTTTTTTCCCATTATCAATCTATACACAATACCCCCTAATGACAAAGTGAAAACAGGTTTTAAGACATTTTTGCAAATGTATACAAAATAAAATACAGAAATACCTTATTAACATAAGTATTCAGACCCTTTGCTATGAGACTCGAAATTAAGCTCAGGTGCATCCTGTTTCCATTGATCATCCTTGAGATGTTTCTACAATTTGATTGGAGTCCACCTGTGGTAAATTAAATTGATTGGACATAATTTGGAAAGACACACACCTGTCTATATAAGGTCACACAGTTGACAGAGCATGTCAAAGAAAAAAACAAGCCATGAGGTCGAAGGAATTGTCCGTAGAGCTCCGAGACAGGATTGTGTTGAGGCACAGATCTGGGGGAAGGTTACCAAAAAATGTCTGCAGCATTGAAGGTCCCCAAGAACACAGTGGCCTCCATCATTCTTAAATGAAATAATTTTTGTAACCACCAAGACTCTTCCTAGAGCTGGCCGCCTGGCCAAACTGAGCAATCGGGGAGAAGGGCCTTGGTCAGGGAAGTGACCAAGATCCCGATGGTCACTCTGACAGAGCTCCAGAGTTCCTCTGTGGAGATGGGAGAACCTTCCAGAAGGACAACCATCTCTGCAGCACTCCACCAATCAGGCCTTCATGGTAGAGTCCCCTGTAGCTCAGTTGGTAAAGCATGGCGCTTGCAACGCCAGGGTTGTGGGTTCGTTTCCCACGGGGGGCCAGTATGAAAAATGTATGCACTCACTAACTGTAAGTCGCTCTGGATAAGAGCGTCGGCTAAATGACTAAAATGTAAAATGTAGAGTGGCCAGACGGAAGCCACTCCTCAGTAAAAGGCACATGAGAGGCCGCTTGGAGTTGGCATAAAGGCACCTAAAGGACTCTCTGACCATGGGAAACAAGATTCTCTGGTCTGATGAAACCAAGATTGAACTCTTTGGTCTGAATGCCAAGCATCATGTCTGGAAGAAACCTGGCACCATCCCTACGGTGAAGCATTGTGGTGGCAGCATCATGCTGTGGGGATGTGTTTCAGCAGCAGGGACTGGGAGACTAGTCAGGATCGAGGGAAAGATGAACGGAGCAAAGTACAGAGAGATCCTTCATGAAAACCTGCTCCAGAGCGCTTAGGACCTCAGACTGGGGCGAAGTTTCACCTTCCAACACGACAACGACCCTAAGCACACAGCGAAGACAACGCAGTAGTGGCTTCGGGATACGTCTCTGAATGTCCTTGAGTGGCCCAGCCAGAGCCCGGACTTGAACCCGATCTAACATCTTTGGAGAGACCTGAAAATAGCTGTGCAGTGATGCTCCCCATCCAACCTGACAGAGCTTGAGAGGATATGCAGAGAAGAAAGGGAGAAACCCCCCAAATACAGGTGTGCCAAGCTTGTAGCGTCATACCCAAGAAGACTCAAAGCTGTAATCGCTGCCAAATGTGCTTCAACAAAGTACTGAGTAAAGGGTCTGAATACTTATGTAAAGGTGATATTTCAGTTATTTATTTTAAATATATTAGCACAAAGAAAATAAAAACCTGTTTTTACTTTGTTATTATGTGTAGATTGATGAGGGGGAAAAACTATTGAATCAATTTTAGAATAAGGCTGTAACGTAACAAAATGTGGAAAAAGGGGTCTGAATACTTTCCGAATGCACTGTACACCCAAGCAGTTTATAAAGAATTTAGCTAGTCTCGTTCTTTCTACTTAACAGTATTACCTCTTGAAATCAGAGTCATCAAGTTTTCCAGCCCAGCTTGCCCTAGGCTATATGTGATCGAAATCAACACAGGTAGGCTGCAATTTTTCTCTCCAAATATATAGCCTATTTGACTGAAACCTTAGCTTACTGCCCAATACATTTTAAACTACAGTTGAAGTCGGAAGTTTACATACACTTAGGTTGGAGTCATTAAAACTAGTTTTTCAACCACTCCACAAATTTCTTGTTTACAAACTATAGTTTTGGCAAGTCGGTTAGGACGTCTACTTTGTGCATGACACAAGTAATTTTTCCAACAATTGTTTACAGACAGATTATTTCACTTATAATTCACTGTATCACAATTCCAGTGGGTCAGAAGTTTACATACACTAAGTTGACTATGCCTTTAAACAGCTTGGAAAATTCCAGAAAATGATGTCATGGCTTTAGAAGCTTCTGATATGCTAATTGACATAATTTGAGTCAATTGGAGGTGTACCTGTGGATGTATTTCAAGGCCTACCTTCAAACTCAGTGCCTCTTTGCTTGACATCATGGGAAAATCAAAAGAAATCAGCCAAGACCTCAGAAAATAAATTGTAGACCTCCACAAGTCTGGTTCATCCTTGGGAGCAATTTCCAAATGCCTGAAGGTACCACGTTCATCTGTACAAACAATAGTACGAAAGTATAAACACCATGGGACCACACAGCCGCTCAGGAAGGAGACGCGTTCTGTCTCCTAGAGATTAACGTACTTTGGTGCGAAAAGTGCAAATCAATCCCAGAACAACAACAAAGGATCTTGTGAAGATGCTGGAGGAAACAGGTACAAAGTATCTATATCCACAGTAAAACGAGTCCTATATTGTGTCAGAACGGCGACAGTGAAATGCGGTAGGCGAAGTCACACGCAGGACACAGAGCTACTGGAAACCGTACTTTAATAAACGTCGCCAGTGAAAATAAACAGTCTCCAAAACAACGGAGAAAACTACCAACCCGCACACTGCCGATGACACAAACAATAACACACAAAACACAATGCACGACAGAGGGTTAAATAGGGAATACAATACAACATAATGGGGAACAGGTGTACACAATCAGACACAACAACTCAAACACCGAAACATAGATCGGTGGCAGCTAGTACTCCGGGGACGACGAACGCCGAAGCCTGCCCGAGCAGGAAGGAGGAGCAGCCTCGGCTGAATCCGTGACAGTACCCCCCCCTTGACGCGCGGTACCAGCCGTGCGCCGACCCCGGCCTCGGGGATGGCCAAGAGGACACGGAGCTGGGCGAGTCGGATGACTCCGGTGGAAGTCCCTCAACAAGGAGGGATCTAGAATGTCCCTCCTGGGGACACAGCACCGTTCCTCCAGACCGTACCCCTCCCACTCCACGAGATACTGCAGGCCCCCCGTCCGACGCCTCGAATCCAAGATGGACCGGACTGAGTACGCCGGAGCCCCCTCGATGTCCAGCGGGGGCGGAGGAGCCTCTCGTACCTCATTCTCCTGGAGTGGACCAGCAACCATCGGCCTGAGGAGAGACACATGGAACGAGGGGTTAATGCGATAATACCTGGGCAGTTGTAACCTATAACATACCTCGTTCAATCTCCTCAGGACTTTAAAGGGCCCCACAAACCGCCGACCCAGCTTCCGGCAGGGCAGGCGAAGGGGCAGGTTTCGGGTCGAGAGCCAGACCCGGTCTCCTGGTGCATACACCGGAGCCTCACTGCGGTGGCGATCGGTGCTCGCCTTTTGCCGCCTGATGGCACGCTGCAAATGGACGTGCGCAGCATTCCAAGTTTCCTTTGAGCGCCGAAACCACTCGTCCACCGCAGGGGCCTCGATCTGGCTCTGATGCCAAGGTGCCAGAACCGGCTGGTAACCTAACACACACTGGAAAGGGGTCAGGTTAGTAGACGAATGACGGAGGGAGTTTTGGGCTATCTCTGCCCAGGGAATATATCCCGACCACTCCCCCTGCCGGTCCTGGCAATATGACCTCAGAAACCTACCCACATCCTCTCTCCACCTGCCCATTACTTTCGGGGTGAAAACCTGAGGTAAGGCTAATCGAGACTCCCAGACGTTCCATAAATGCCCTCCAGACCCTAGAGGTGAACTGGGGACCCCGATCAGACACTATATCCTCAGGCACCCCATAGTGCCGGAAGACGTGTGTAAACAGGGCCTCAGCAGTTTGTAGGGCAGTAGGGAGACCTGGCAGGGGAATGAGACGGCAGGCTTTAGAAAACCGATCCACAACGACCAATATCGTAGTGTTCCCCTGAGAGGGGGGAAGGTCCGTCACAGAATCCACCGATAGGTGAGACCACGGTAGGGGTTGTAACTTCCCCCTGGGCAGGTGTCTAGGCGCCTTACACTGGGCGCACACCGAGCAGGAGGAAACATAAACCCTCACGTCCTTGGCTAAGGTTGGCCACCAGTATTTCTCACTAAGGCAGTGCACTGTCCGACCAATACCCGGATGAC